ACTAAAGTAGTGGTCCTGTTACCTAACTCTTTTATCTGAGATATGTCTGCGATATTATCAAATTATCTTTGAAGTTCAGTTATAAAAAGAACTTACAACCAAGACCAGATTTTGTCAGTGTTTTTATTTCATTTTTGATTACTAAGCTAATAGATAATTTAATTTTTTTTTTAATTGAAATATCTATAAAAAAATCAAACAAAACTCATTAATTTTTTCTTCTTTGAATAAATTTATTTTATAAATTTAAATTAAATAAACGTATTTTTATGTTACAATATCTTACTGATATTTTGTACGGCCTTGGGTGTTACTTGCGATGCACTTTTATTTATAACAATGATGTTAGCAAAACATTTTTCAATGTGAAATGTTGTTGCAATTCGAATATAGCTGTAAAACTACACACTTTTCAACAAATTTTAATTAATATTTTCGTTATTACTCACTAAAATAAATGGTAGATTGTCGTAAACTTCCTTTTATTAATTAATTGAGCTTTGAAAACTTATACATTATAAAACAATATATTTTATAAATAATTCACACTAATATTTTATTTTGCTTACTGTATTTACCACATAGTTTATCTTTAAAGTTTAAACAGAAATATTATGGACATATAGCACTGTTTGAAAAATGTTTAAATTAAAACTTCATCACTCCACTTTCATCACATTTCATTCTGCAATCCACTTTCTTTTCATTTCACATTTCAAGGAAAACTAGAAATGTGAAAAAAAAATCCATTTTAAATACCGTATGTATGGTGCGTTTTATTAAACATAAACAAATTGTGGTTAGGGAAAAAGTAGCCACCAACAAGGCCCATCAACATCCCTCAAGTTAACATTTCACAACCCCCATGTAATACAATCCCAAAAACTATCTACGTGAACCAATCAACTTTCTTGGCGAATCTCAAAAGCCGTGCCAAAGACTCTCCCACCAAGTCTTCCAGGCCATTATAAAAGAACCCTCAGAACAACACATCAGAAGCCAGGTCGCACCCCCTCACTGGTCTAGTTGCATGCAATTCCGCCTGACAAACCCCACAGCCATCAGGCAGCCTAATCGATAGCTCCATTGCCATTTCCTCGGAAAAGGTTCCCGTTCCCATACCCACCATATTCCTAGAACTATCCGCATAGATAGACACTCCCTCATGCGCCCCTCTAGTACTCCTATTCTCCCTTTATGGAATGACAGTACACAATGTAACCACATGTATCGACCTACCAAAGCTGACCTAATGGAGTAGTATGCGAGAGCTCCGATCCCCACACTCCTATCCACAAAAATACCCAGGTCGCATCCCCTCAGTGGTCTAGTTACGTCCAATTCCTTCTGGCAAACTCCACAACCATCAGGCAGCCTAATCGATAGCTTCATTGCCATTTCCTCAGAAAAGGATCCCGTTCCCATACCCACCACAGTCCTAGAACTATCCGCGTAGATAGACAATCCCTCATGCGCCCCTGTAGTACTTCTACCCTCTCTTTGTGGAATTATAATCCACAATGTAATCAGCTACCCAGTCAATATATGGCACCACAAAGTTAAACCTAACGTCCCTATCGTGCACCCCATACTACATTTTCCTTCCACAACAGCTTACTGTCAATAATCACGCCGAAGTAGAGCGTACAATTCGTTAAGCGCTGCCAAACCCGTTTCCCCCTCTAGGTAAAGGAAACTCGAGCACCCCTCTCCTACTTGCAAACAAGTCCAGCTCAATATTCGCGGGATTCACAGAAAGGACGCAATCCTGCACCCATTATTCCCAACTACTTACCTTAGACTAGAATAACCACATTATTTGCATAACTGTCTAGGTAGCTACGATCCATAATAAATACGGCGATAGCAAAACCCTTGGGGGAATGCCTCTCGCTGATACCGCCCTAACCTTACTCGAGCCCCGTTCACCTAATACTATTCATAAGCATCTACTCTACCTAATTGACTATACCCTCCTCAAGTGCAATCACTCTCATATTATTGAAGGCGCCCTCAACATCCAAGAAAGCAGCTAAAGTATATTCCTTGCACTGCAGAGACCGCTCCACCTGTGTGACCAACGCGTGTAGTGTTGTTTCTACAGATCTTCCACTTCTATACGCATGTTGGTTATTTGACACATTCGCAGCTCTCAGTCCGAACAAAACAAACTAATTGACCGGAAATCCCTCGCACCGACATCCACTCTCTGGGAACATAACCCATGTACAATTAGCTAAAAAAGATAACCACCAGCCAATCAATGATAACACTCGGTGCCCTCTGCAGCAATGTTGGTTGCACCCCACCCGGTTCTAGAGACTTGTAAGGGCCAAAAGATAGTTCGTTGTATCCTCCCCTCCGTGATAATTTTCTTACCTAATTCGCGCTATCTCTTCCAGCATTTCTAAACTGGAACTATCCGTTTTTAACGTAGCCAGGTGCCAGTAGTTTCGTTAATTCATTCTCCAATGACTTGCAATAACTCCTCTGAAATTATTTAAAACAAAAAATTTTAATTCTTTCCTAGCTAAAATACAATATATTTGTCTACTTATTCCCATTTTGTAGTACAGGTTATAGTCGGTTTCTGAATGAGCGCTATGTGAATGATATTACCGCTTTTGTACCCCGCTAGATAGTTAGTAGTCTGCTAGAGGTTGACTTGGATTACCTCCATCCCCTGAACCGCCGTCCAAGACGATCATCAGCTTAGACAGGCTGAGTCTTGCCATCTCGCCATTCTTTCATCGAGAGACTCACGCTTTGGGCCTCCGGTACTCTTGGGATTGCCGGTAATCTGGCCACCTTACAGATGCCGTTAAGCTTCGGTAACGTGTCCTCCAAGAATTTCTTCGAAGCCATGTTGGAACACGCAACCATCTTGTAGCTTTCATCTAATCCTGGTTTTCATTAATTTGCCAGCACATTTGTAAAGTTTTAGGTTATGAGTTAAACTGTGATTAAGGGTCTTCTTGAGATAACTCCAGGTAACTGCGCAATGGGTGTAAACTTGTATGGTAAATAAAAAAATAATGATTGAACGATCTACCCAAATTTTGAATTGTGAAGTAAAACATTACAGATGACTGCAATGTTGACTACTTTAAGTAAATATTTAGTGATTCTTTTCAAAAAACATTAACTTTTTTTTCGAAAAAAAAATTGAAGAAAAGTTAAGCAACCGTTGCCTCAGAGTTGGAGTCATGCTTAATTTTTTATGCTCTATCTAATGGTATTATCAGATTTTTTCTTGCTGCCTTAATTTACGTGATATGTGCAGTGTCGATTTTACTGTAAAAGCTACAAAATAGGTAATTTGGTAAACGGCAAATTTTGACGCATACTGCAAAAAGTTTTTACATGAACTTGAAAAAATTATTTTGTCATAGTCATAGACGAACTTAAAGAATTAAAGAAGTGCAAAAAATATAGAAAATTCATAGGAAAGTTCAAAAAAATTATTTTTGTTTCATGTGTTAACTGAAAGGATATTCACCAAAGTTTAAAGTCGGGTTTCATTGTAATCTCAAATATTCGTGCGTTGAATCCAAGAATTAGGAGCTTCACTGAAGTTCAATTACTTACCTTACTTAAATTCGTTTGCTAGAATTATCCTAATTATTTACTACCTTACAATTGAAACACCCAGCTTTTATACAAGAAACCAATCTGTACAGGTAATTTAAAATGTGAACAGCTTCTCACTCATCCTTCTTTCACCAAAATAAAAAATCTGATGTGGTCAGCCCATAACCGACCGCAATGTAACTAGACAATAATTAAGTGAAAGTGTTACAGAATATTATAAAAACGTCTGCTAAATACTTCTTTCCAATTTTTAGGACATTACTAAGCTTATAGTTAACATACCTAGAAAAATTTAAATTTGGCTCTTAGTAGAGTTTCGTTTTGTGCTACCCGAATTCCCTGAAATGCTCGCCAATTAGTTCCGGTAACAACCAGAACTCAAATATAAAACTTCAACAAATTCCATCAATTCGTTCCGTAGTTATGGTGAAAAATGTAAAATCGGCCCGGCCCGCACATCAGTTTTCGAGCCCTGATCTTTTCAAAAAATCTATATGTTCATTCTTTTAATACGAGGAATTCAAATATTAAATTTCAATGAAATCGGTTGATTATTTCTCTTTATATACACAAAAATGTATATTTGGCCAGTAGTAAACGCCCAGTTGTTGATGCCTGATTTCTTCCAAAAGTTAGGAATTTTCGCGCACGGTCGAGCAAAACTTATATATAAAATTTCAAATAAATCGATTGAATATTTTCTTCAAAATGTTCGAAGTGCAGTTCCCGAGGCCTAATATATACCAAAAGTTTATCAATCCGTGCCATGGTCGAAATAAACTTACATATAAAATTTCATTAAAATCGGTTCAGCCGAACTTGAGATACACGCGTGCACACACAGGCCGACAAACCGACAGGTTGCTAAAAATAGTTTACTTACACTTCCCTACTATGGAGAAGTGCATTCCCACCGAAAACTCGATATGCCAAATTTGTTGCCATCACATAACCTACCTATTGTTTACACAATACGGTCGGTAAAAAGAGTTGCATTCTGTTAATAAATTTGAAATTGATGATTGAAAAATTAGAAAATGAAAATTAAGCTATACAATTTTTTTTTATACCTATTTTTTTTAAAGTAGTTTAACCGCTTTTAAAAAACACGCTGAACGATAATAGCGGTATCAAATCTACAGCCTTTGTACACACACATATTTTAACAGATAATTTAAAAAAAACGGTAACAGTAAAATAAAAATTTAAACTAAAAAATTAACTGGATTCTGGGCGATTTAAATGTTTGTATTCTATATGAATTTTGACATTTCGTCGCGGAAAATTCTGTTTTTAACTTAAATTGAGTTTTTAATACAGTAAATTTACTAATAATTCAAAATAAACAACACGATGATTTTCATAACAATATAATGTAACGTAACGTGTCAAAATTACATATTTTTCATTATAGAAAAATCTGTTGTTCTGTTCTGTAATTAAGATTAACTTATCATGTTACTTGTTATTTAATAAATTTAAATTGAATAATTCATATGAATAAAAATGCCGAATTATCAAGAAATCGAAGAAACATTGAAAAAGCTTAAAATATCATCAGACGAAAATATTGATAGCGTAATATCTTTAATTGATGAACGAGATGTATGCAAAACAAATTGAAATTTGTACTTTTAAAATATAATCTAATTTTTTTAGCATGAAATCCAAAAAGAATTGGAATCGGCATTAGCAAGACAATCTAGTATTGAAACTAGCATGTCATCTTTTCGTCAAACTTTAAATGATTTAAAAAATTCTGAAAATGAAGCCATGAAATTATTTGAGCTTATAAAAAGTACCGCATCTTTATCAGAATCGGTAAGCTCAAAAGTTCGAGTTCTTGATACAGCAAGAAGTCGAGTCGCAGAATGTCAACAACGAGTCCAAGATTTAATCGACATAGAACTTTGTGCGAAAGGTGTAATAGCAGCTATCAAGGATGAAGACTTCGAACAAGGTGCTATTCATGTCAGAAGATTTCTTTCAATGGACCAAAATCTTCTTCAACGAACGGCAGAAGATGTTTCAGAATCTGTAACAACGGTTAGTGAAGCTGTACGTATTTTAGAAGATGCAACAATTAAAATGCGCGAGTTAATTAACCAAAAATTTGAGGAAGCGGTCAGGAAGGATGATCTAGCTTCAGTTGAAAGATTTTTTAAAATATATCCCCTCTTGAATAGGCATCATGAAGGTATTGAAAAATTCTCATCTTATATAAGTTTAAAGTTGGAAAAAAAATCCCAAAAGGAACTTCGAAATTCTATTGACATTGCCAAAGCTGAAAAACGGCAAGCTGTTGCATTTGCAGACACACTAACCTCTCTATTGGAAAATTTTGCTCGAGTAATTGAAGTAAATCAACCCATAATTGAGAGTTGTTACGGATGTGGATATTTATTTGAAATGTTCTTAATATTACAAAATGAATGTGATAAAGAAGTAAAAAATCTTTTATTAGAATTTAACAAACATCGACAAATTGCAAAGAAGGTCGGGCAAATAAATGAATATTTGAAGAGTGGAAGTTCAGGTAGTCAAAATTCTGGACACTATCGTCATTCTTCAGGAGGCGGATCAGTCGATAAAATATCACCAAAAGATGTAGACGCACTTGCGATAGAGATTACCATAATGCACTCTAGAGCAGAGCTTTATTACAAATTCATGAAAAGAAGGCTATTTGTAAATTAGAAAATTTAATTTCCTTGCTTAATACTTTATGACGAATTCTTTATAAATTTTAGAACGACATCCAAAAAGCGAATTCAGACGAAAATGAAAAAGATTTAAAAAAAAAGAAATGTGAGGAAACAATAATGAAATGTGGACTAAGCAGACAAATGCAGGAACTGCTTGGAACTTATTTATTATTTGAAAGGTGAGACAATATCCATACCGTGGTTTCTGTAATACTGTTTTACTGATTAAATTTACGCAGGTATTTTATGGAAGAGAGTGTTTTGAAAGCAATAGCATTAGATACGTATGAAAATGGACAACAATGTTCAAGTATGGTGGATGATGTTTTTTATATACTACGGAAATCCATTAGACGTTCTATAACAACACAATCGGTAAATGGAATTTGCGCTGTAATTAATAATGCTGCAACCTGTTTTGAAGGAGATTTTATAAATGCTTTAAAAAATCCTCTTAAAACAGGCTATCCTTCGGGATATATTGATTTAGCCCAAGCTTATAATGTTATCCAAAGCTCTATACAACAAGGAAAAATTCAAACCAGCGACTCAGAACAAGCTCGTACTAACTTTTTAGTACAATTAAACAATGCCGACATGTCAACAGAATTCATTGAAACTCTATGGGTAACCATGAGTGAAGAAATTCAAGCCTCATTCCCTTCAATGACTAAAACTGAAAGTCAAATACTAGACAGTTGTATGACAGAATTAAAGTCTGTTAAAGATATGCTAAAAGCAGTTGTCGACTTTGGTCTTCAACAACTGAAATCAAGTGCAATTAAACCAAGATTAAATCCATGGGTCGATCAATTTTTGAGTTATAATCATCATTTAACAGAAGTATAGAAAAATTTGTGATAAATTTGTTTCTATATTATTTGTAATTTTGTATTTAACTTTAGGAAGAGTTATCTACTTATGAAGCCGGAGAAACCTTTGTACAATTTTTAATAGTACAGATTGACAGTTTATTGAACACTTTCAAGCCATCGCTAAGTCCGAGAAATTATGACGCCTTGGTTAGCATTTTAGCTTCAGAAGTAACATCGCGTTTAGAAAGAGCAATAAAAAAATCTACATTTAACAGAGTAAGTACATAGAAAATTATAAAATAAATATTTATAGCAATTTTTCACAGTTAGGAGGATTAATATTGGATCAAGAAGTTCGTGCTTTGGGTAGTTATTTAACTGGAGCAACATCATGGTCTGTTCGAGATAAAATGGCGAGATTAACACAAATAGCAACTCTTTTAAATTTGGAGAAAGTTTCTGAAATAACCGAATATTGGAATCCAAATGACGGAAACGATATGCCAACATGGAGACTTACACCAAATGAAGTGCGGACAATATTAACTTTAAGGTAAAGTATATAAATAAGTCTTACAGTTTCCTAATTTTTAATTTTTTAGGAGTGATTTTAGAATGGAAGATATTAAAAGGATTAAAATATAAATAAAAGTATCGTAGTTCTATAGTTATGTTATTGATTTTACAAAAATATAAACTGAAAATTTTTAAAACAATGATTTATTTCAAATTGCTCAAGTTATTGATTTTTGCCTAATAAAATTTTCTGACCTATTTAAATGGATGAAAAGAATTGATGCGGCTAATCTAGCTTGTAAGTCCTGCTGTGATAAGTCATGGGACCATTCCACTCTTCCCCAGAATTTTAGCTGGTATTCTTCCTCCAAACGAGCTAAGTGCACAGCTCTCTCAACATCTAAATATTGATCAATAACAGCAAAAGCTAGTATTATTGATTTTAATGTGTCAATTGCAAATGTAATCCCTAAAATTAACAAAATATGTTTTCTGTGTATGTAATAACTTATGATTACCATGCAAAATTTCATCATTGTAGGAGTTTAGATATTTGCTAATTTTCATCTTGTCATCTGCTGACATTTTTGGTGAACTAAAATCTGTTGTCTTTTGTAAATCAGTATCATATCGCTTATTAAACCACTCAATAATTGGATCCCATTCTTTTTTTTGTAACTTTTTAAGATCTTTCTCATCCTAATTTTCAAATTATATAATCAAAACCATTATATAAAAATATTTGATATATACTTCTGATTGAAAAAGAACCGTATCCGAAGATAAGAAATTGAGACAATAATTCACCATATCCGATTTTTGCAACTTATTTGGATTATCTAAACATGTAAAACATAACCCTGTTAAGTGCATGGAAGATTGTTTAATTTCATTTTTTTGACTATCCCATTCATTTGCTACAGCTATTGCAAGAGGTTCACTTTTAAGCTAAAATTGAATTTTAATTAAAATAAAATTCAAACTACTCAATATTTTATACGGAAAAAGGTGCGCCAGTGGGAGTTTTCAACTTTCGATGATCTAAAGTTATTTCATATTTTCCATCACTATATAAAACACTAGTGTTTTTGAAAAATCTTTTTTTTGTTGCTAAAATGTATACTTTTTTAAATGACAAAAAAATTTAAATATTTTAACAATTTACCAAAACTTCTAAAATTAAGTTGCTGCCTTACTACGTTTCGCACTGAATTCTTCAAAACTGGAATTATGGCATTCATTTCTGTTAGATCTTTATAATAAGCAATAAAAATAAAATGTTTGTTTTTTTTTGTTATAAACATACATATGTACATACACGTTCAAACTTTCGATTGCATTTGACAACCAGTAATAACACTGTCTACGATTCCAGTACATGAATACCGATGGTTGTGTGATCAGCGTTCCCACTTGGGTACAATTATATCCATTTGGATGCCTTTTTGCTTTAAATTAAGCTTGGGTACAAAGATACTCAAATCTGCTAAAATGTCGAAATTAGCTACGTTTGAAAATTTTGCTGAAATGTGGATACATTTATTTCTTAAATACTAAATAAATATTACAAAACTGTCAAAGTGCTGCTAAAATTAAATTGAGAAATTGCTTTATTTTCAAAAAAATGTTATTTGCAGCTTTTACTTAACAGATCTCCAAATTTTGTAGCAGAAAGTAAGAACGATATTATATTAAATTGGTGCCACCGTTCTTGTGTTCAAATTTAGAACTTTTAAACAAATACATGGCAGAAAAATATTGCTGTAGTTGAAAATGCATTAATTGTACATTAAAATTTTTATGATGTCTTTTCCGCAGCTACGAAACGTGTATTTCTGACATTCTGACATTCTACAATTAAAATACGATAGAAGTTGTATGTGATTTCTTAAAGAATTTACTATAAATATTAAAACTCGCATTGCAGAATAAAGCTAGCCAATATTAATTGTGAGTTAATTTGTACAAAATAAGACGGCTTACTATAATAATACAACTTTACGAGGCTGGATACATTTTGGACACATTTTTTCTAGAAATCGGATACGTTTGTTATTACCGAGCGGGAACATTGTGTATGATGCTTCGATTCTTATATTTGTATGTTTTTTTTTTTTGGTTGCTTTTATCGATTACTGCGTTTATATGCGGCTTGAAGAGGACTTTCAGCTCATATAAACACTATTTGTCTTGAAATTTTCAAGTCAAGTTGATCCGATAAAATTATTAGCCTGACTTGAAAATAAACTACAAATTGCATATTTGCGATTGAAAATTTGAAAATGACAAATTAATAAATAATTCTTGTCAGTTAATGTCAAATTCAATTCCATCTTATAAATATTATTTCGATCTTTACAGTATGTGCGCAGATTGAAATTTCAAATCAAATGGTGAAGTTCTCAATGTACCATATAAAAGAAATAGATATCAATCATACTAAAAATTTTTTTATAATTGTACTATATAATAAAAATATGTACTTATTTAGATCTTAAATAAGTAATTTTGTATTTCATCATAAAAAAATTTCGACAAAAAATTTTCATGTCCAACACACAAATCAAAAATTAACACAGTTTAAAATAATTGTCATTGTCATTATAAACATTAGTCGACAAATGTAATTTGTTAAACAGGTGCAAATCTAAATTTTTGACAGTTAATGTGCATACGATGTTTTGTTGTTGTCATGAATAAAAAATTATGCACAAGTTTGCCGGACCTAAAACGTATTGCATAATTATGAAAAACCCTTACAAAGTTTATTATTATTTTTTTTTAAAAACGATAAAAAATTATAATTTTTTTGAAATTATTTAACACTGTAAAGTATTTTAAAAGCTTAAAAATAACTTCAAACTTTAAAACTTTTAATAACTTTAACTAATTTACTAATACTTTAAATAATTTAGAACTTTTACAACTTTCTACTTGTTTTTCGCATATTCAAAAAAGCCAAAGTATTTGTCAAAATAAATACCACTTGTCAAAATTAAATAATTGTTTTTAACTAGTTTAACTAAGTTGAAATTTGATTCTGCCTTGTTAAGAGACAATAACAATATTCAATTTTGATAAAACAAATATTGACAACTGAAACCAATATAAAATAACAAAAATCAAACTTGATTGTAAGTCCAAGAATAAAGAGCAACAGAATGTTACCATATTTAGCTAGAAAAGTAATACATTTTCCCAATACAAATACTATTAATTTTTTTCACATTATCACTATACATAAGTACTCTTAATCTTAAGAGTTTACTTAAAAATCGTTTACAAGAAGAAATTTAGCATGTCCTCTTATTTTAAAATTCAGACCCGGTCTCCTTGTGTTCTATTTCAATTCGTGTTTCTCACCTGCACTACATTATCGATGCCTTCTTTGACATGTTCATTTTATTTATAAATCCGTCAAAGATAGTGACTCTGGTTAAAAATATTTACTACCTTTTAAATTTCAAAATAAATTTTATATTTTGTGTTATTATATAACATAATAATTTGTTACATTAACAACTTAATTTAAATTATGTACTCAAAGTGAGTAAGTAATGCAAATATTTCACAGAAAAAAATGCCCAAATTCACATTAATATTTTTATTGTAAAAATATTCATGCAATTACTCCCCCAAGAATAATTGTACTAATTATTATATAAAAACTTCTTCACGCATTTATGATTAGATTTGAAAACCCATTATATACTTAATAAATAATGATATCTATATTTTATTTCGGCAAACAATCAATTCATTTGTAAAATTAATTTTGGATGAAATCTTCCTCATTAGGTATTGTTAATACTAGTAATAATAACATTCCCTGTGGAGTACATGCGCACGTACTACAATGTATAAAGTGTCACGTCACATCTCTATTTAATTTTTTTTGCAAAATTGATTGTAGCGTCACTTGCATCATTTAAGCAAAAGTTGATATTTATAATTATTTTAATTCAAGACGAATTAGTATAGTATACGATTTTTATTTAATTTAGAACATCTTGATAATATAAAAAAATTGAACATGAGTGTTGAGGAGGAGGTTCTGAAAATACAAAGAAAACTAAATAAAATGACGGCTCCAGATGGAACTGTAGGTTAAGTTTAATAATTGTTTTAGCATTTTGAACTATTGTTTTTAACGTTGCCTTTGACTAAATCTGTGGTGCTTCAGATAGTAAATAATATTATTTGTAGTTTATTGTTTACATTTGTTGGGCGGGAAAAATATGTTTTTTAAAATCAATCAAAAATTTAAAATTTATATTTTTATTTTTAAATACGGGACAGGAAGTCAAATTTCTGTAGTTCAAATTATAAATTGGTTAAAAACCTTTAAATAAAAAAAAATTATATTTCAGGGACAAGAACAAGCTTTAGATCTTCTAAAAGCCTTACAAACGTTGGATGTGAATTTAGATATATTAACAAAAACACGTATTGGTATGACAGTAAATGAATTACGGAAAAGTAGCAAAGACGATGAAGTAATCAGTTTGGCGAAAACTTTAATAAAAAATTGGAAACGTTTTCTAGGAAATACGCCGGCACCATCTTCAAATTCATCCAATAAGGAATCAAGCAGTAGCAGTACTAAAACGTCCTCTAAATCATCAAACTCATCCGCCAGCGGTAAAAAAAGAGATGAAGACAGTAATAATAAAAAGAAAGAAGAAAAGAAGTCTTCAGAAGATCGTTCTTCGAAACAAAATATACCAGTTCAAACATCATTTCCTGCTGTTTCCAGTATGACAGATGCTGTACGCCTTAAATGCCGCGAAATGTTGTCAAACGCATTAAAAACTGATGCAATACCAGAAGGTTGTGCAACACCAGAAGAACTTGCTGAAGAATTAGAAGATGCTATTTACGCTGAATTTAAAAATACTGATATGAAGTATAAAAATCGTATACGATCTCGTGTGGCAAATTTAAAAGATGCAAAAAATCCCCAATTAAGAATGAATTATTTATGTGGTGCAATAACAGCAGCTAAATTAGCGAAAATGACGCCAGAAGAAATGGCTAGCGATGAAATGAAAAAATTAAGAGAGAAATTTGTTAAAGAAGCGATTAATGATGCACAACTTGCTACAGTCCAAGGTACCAAAACTGATTTGCTTAAATGCGGTAAATGCAAAAAACGTGATTGTACATATAATCAATTACAAACAAGAAGTTCTGATGAACCTATGACCACCTTTGTTATGTGTAACAACTGCGGAAACAGGTGGAAATTCTGTTAAATATTTTTTAATACCGAGAAAGTAGAAAAAATCATACTTTTTAAAGAAAGAAAAAAAATATGAGGAAAAACGTTAGTAAATAATTATCCAAATTGCATCCAATCATAAAAACAATATTTTACATTAAAAGTTATTAACTGACAAGAAATATTGTAATGAGAATTGTTCTTATTCAAAATAAATTTTACAAAAAGCTAAAACAATTTTGATTGGTGTTGTGTATATTTCGCAATGAAATTTAAATTAAAGTTATAAAAATTAATTTTTTCTAGTAAAAGTTAAAAATAATTCTTAAATAAAAAGAAGTCAAAACTGTTTGCATTGAATAATTTTTATGAATCAATTTTCAAAGACAGAATGATAAAATGAATGTCAAATTAGAATACATTTATTTCTACCCTAAATACGTACATACATACATATTATATATTAAGTAAATTTTAAACTGAATTAACTTATAATATAAAAGTTTTTAATTTTTCAATATAAAAATTTGTAGATGTGTATTCCTATAATGTTGGTAAATAGGCATACTCATAATAGACATACCTAATTATATATGAAACTTAATATTTTTTGTTTTACACGAACTGTAATTTTTTATAAGTTATTAAATAATTTTTAATAAAAATTTTAAAAATTTTGAATACATATAAATCTATATAAGATATCTTCGGTTTTTAGTTTGAAGTTCGTTTTGATTTGTGTGCAAAAATCATTAAAAAGGAAAATAAAAATTTAAAGTCTTAAGATTTGTGTTAAAGCAATATTTTTATTTGAAATCTTCACTTATTAAAAATATCTAAGGCACTTAAACTGAAAACAAAACAAATGGGAAATGCTTGAAATATCCATAAAGTTCTTTAAAAACGAAATAATTAAGTTTTAATCCTCAATTTAGATGTGATTTAATGCTTTTTTTTATTCGTTCTTCAATCTGTTGTTTTTAAATTAAAGTTTTTTCCACGAAATTAATAAAACTAACTAAATTCACAAAGCTATAAAATAAAAAGTTTCAATTAAATTTAGCAATATTATGCATTTAACAATCTATTTAAAACTAATTTAGATGCTGTTTTACTTTATTTATGTATGTACAAAACTTATTGAATAATAATTAGAATGTACCAAAAAGCAACTACTAAACAAATAAAAGACAGATTCCTTAGGTGTAATATTATAACTTAGGCAAGTGTGCAAAATTTCATGACATAATAAACCATAAGCTCACAGTAACAATTACTGAAATTTATTAGATTTTTGGAAGGGTGAGCTTTCATCATATCCTACATATTTTTTTTCAATTTTTGATGTCAATATTATTATAATAACTCATTATTTGACCTTTGTTTGTTGAACTTCAAAAAAAAAGTTTACAAAATATTAACCGGTAATAAATAAAAGCTTCCATCATTACCATTATTAGGTTAATCTTCATTTAACTTTCGATTTGAGAACAATCAAAGAAATATTTTTTAAATTCACTCTTCAGGTGAGAAAAAAATTATTAATAAAATATAAAATTAGATGATTGTGTGTAAAACTTATTAGTCCCATTTATATTAATCTAAATTAATAAAATAAGTGAATATAATTAATAATTACCAATAAAATCGAAGAAATAAAGTTCGATTTTATATAGCTGCATATGAGTACATATGTGTATGTACTTATTTATTAGTTGTTGACTCTTTGTATGTGCATATATGAAAACAAAAATTTAATTAAACATTATATTATACTATTTATTTTTTAATAGTATTATTTAATAATTTTATAATATTTATATTGGTAATAAATTCGTTAATTTTGAAAAACACCTGTAGTTTAGTTTATGTAAATTTATTGGACTTTTTTTTGTAGATTCACACAAATAAACACAATTAAATTTTAGGGTTTAATATAATTTGAAGTTTAATTTAATTTGAAGTTCCAAATCAATAACTTTATAGAAAGTGAATCATGAAGTATTACGATTGAAAGAAAAAGACTTTAAATAATTAATTACACAATACGTAAAGCATAAAATTAAATAAGTACGCACATACATAGCTCCTTTTAGAATATTTGAAACCCAAAATCAAAAAAAGTGCACATTGATATAATATATACATATGTATAATAGTGATCTAATTTAAAAATAAGAGTTAAAAATAGGTATGTTTAAATTGTTATGTTAATTTAAATTTAAAGAGTAGATTTCTTGCAGTATTTTGTAGTGCAGACATTCAAATATAAAAGTTTTTCAAAATACATAAAATCAATTGTCATATTGTCATACATAATATCAATTAATATTAGTTGTAGATTATTGTTTTAGCTATAAAATATAATAATGCAAACTCTTAGAAAAATTCCTAATATAAGTAAATAATATTTAAATAATGAATACTAATGACTAATATTTAAGTTGAAACTTGAATTTATTTGATTCATCTTACATTTTAATTTAAAAAAATTCTAAATTCTTTCTTTTACATTTAATTGTTTTAACTTTTGTAGTTAAATATTAATTAAATATCTATAATTAGTTAACAGCACACTTATTAATAGGAAGTAAGGTTTGCAGACTCAAAAGTTTAATTTTTTTATAATAACTTTCATTTTTTTATAATAACTTTTAAAATTTAGGTGTATTTAAAAAATGAATATGCAATAATTTTTAAAATCATTACAATAATAAATATTCATGAATTAATTTTTCAAACTAAAATTTCTGGCAACTTATACTTATCTTAATTAGTATTTTTACATTAACAATGGTTGTTTGAAAATTTAATTTTGTTTTTTATCTCGACATGCAATATTTTAATAATTCAGTTAGCTTAAATTATTAATTTTTTTTGTTTCAGTCAAAGTAAACGTAAATGTCATAACAAATTTGCAAAGAAAATTATAATATTTATGCATAGATAAAGTTTTTTCTAAATAAAAAGGAGTATTTTTTTTTGCTATTCAAAAATTAACACAACTATTTTTAATCGAAACCGAATTGTATTGAGCTAAAACGAACAAGAATAAATCAAATACTCGTATTCTATAGTTTTATTGCTTAGCTATGTAGGTATGTACATATGTACCTGCATACATATTTAGAATTAACACATATTATTAAAGTAAAAATTATGTAAGTTTTCTATGTCCCTAACTAATTATGTAGTTAAAGCTATAATTAAATAGTTACAATAGTTGGTAACCCAAGGAAAATACAAAACTTATTTATTTCGTATTTTTTATTTTAAAATATTTAATTGATTTAATCAAAATGGTAATTAATTCAAAAAAAAAAAGTAAAACCTAAACCAAAATCATTCAAATGGAAATTTATGCTAATCAAATTAATTTACAAGATTTATTCGTTTCTAATCAATATTTAAGTACATATATACATACATAGGTATTTTTTCATCTTACTTTCTTTTAATCCAAAATCAAATGTTTCTGTACTTGGTTTAGAAAATTTAAAAAAAAATTATTTTTAAATTTTAAGAAATTTTAATTTAACATTTAAATTTTTCTTTTATAATGTAGAAAACTTGCATTCGGGAAAACCTTCTAGTTGTAGGACACTTTTATCAAGATTAGGTTCCTAATCAAAAAAAAAAAATAGTATGAAAATTTTTGAAATAATTTTATGAAAAATTTTTAACAAAATATAATATAAAAAATTGAAATTTGTAAAAATATATTATAAAATGTTTTGAAATTTGGTGATATGATTCTTACGACTTCTTTACTGTGACAAACAGAATAAACATAATTTTCAAAACTCTTTCAAAATTAAATTTACTTTTCTAGAATCTATTTATGCTACAAAGAGACAATTCACATGCAGATAGGCAATATTCCGGGAAAACTAAAGTCTGTTGTGCAAAAATTAAAAAGACTAGTTCTAACATTTTGTTAAATAAACATACATATACGAGTATAATACAAAATTAATGTTCTTTAGAATGTTATAAAAATTTTTTTTTGAAAATCGCGTTACGTAATAATTTTCCGTAACGTAAAAATTTTACGTATTTTACACAGTATTAAACTACCGCGTCATACCAGAGTTACTTACAGTAATTATGTATACGTATGTATGTACGTAGTTCTTTTGTAAGTTTTGCTTTTACAAAAACTAAAGTTTGAAAATATTTATGTATAAATTTTAAAAATTTTTAAAAAATTTCTTAAATATGTGTATTAGTTAGGTAAATTACTATTTTTTCACATTTTAAAATACATTAACAATTTATGATATACATAAATACATATGTACCTTCATAATGTATGTTTGTACATAACTTTTTTAAAATTTTTATGTTTTGGTTTTTTGAATATTGTGCAATATGTTGATAACAATTCGTATTGTATGCTTTGGAGTCTAAACGTGTACTTTACCTGACAAATTAAAGTAATATTAATAATGCCTACAAAGGTTTTTTAATTTAAACAAAATTATTAATACTTTTTACATAGGTACAATACTTTTATTGCTTAAATACATACATATTTTTATTTTCTTTGGCATTAAAACTTTTTAAAAGTAGGTACGTACTTACCTAATAAAGCTTATAAAACTGGTTTGATTAGATAAAAACTACTGGAAAAAAGTTTATTTAAAAACAATTAATTAAAAAATCAAATAAATAATCAAGAGAGTTTGCTGATCTCATTATAATTTTTCTTAATCTCATATATACACATACGTACATATTTATGTAATTACATATTCTTCATTTTTAAGTGAAGAATTCCAGGAAAAACTTTAATCTTGTTTTCAAAAGTTATATAATATTTTGTACGTTTATGTTTATATAAATATGTATATCTAATACGAAACAAAAAAAATCGTCATATAAAACATAAACTTTTAGAATTAATGTCCGAATCATTAAATAAAAACCTGTTTCTTTGTTTTATAACGCGAAATTGATAAAAGTATATGTACCTATATGTGCCTACATATGTACATACATAATTATATAATAATATGTATTTGTATTGAATTAAAGAAACTGTATATATGTATGTATATTATGTATAATATTCAAGTAAAGAAAATCGTTTGCAGTTGCTTTGTCTTGTACACATTTGACGAATATTAGAAAAATCAGTTAATTTCAATACATACAATGTAATATCAATTCCGCTGATTAAAAATTTACTGAATTTTTAGAACTAATGCAGCAAAACATAATTACAAATAGTTTTCTGAATAGAAATGTGAGCATAAGTATATACATGTATGTACATGCATGCATTTATACATATGTATATGAATATATGTTTTTATAAACACATTTATATAATATATATTTATTTATAAACACATATATTATATTTATTCATATAACAAATATGTATATACTCGTATGTATTTAGGTGTAAATTATTAATCAGGCACATTAATGCATTCTTTATGTACATTCATATATATGCGCTACCTCCATACATATCAATGTTTCCTTATTTTCCTCAATTTTCTAATTTTTAGCAGTTTAAAAAAAAAAATTGCAAAATTGCTTATTTGTTTCACTCTGTACATTCGTCCGTTGGAATTCCTCTTTACAAAATTTTTAAACCCTATGAAGTAAATTTTTGGTAAAACCTCAATTCGTGTAGAAGAGAATTTTTACCTATCTATCACTCTCTAACAGTTATAATAGTCTCTGAAAGTCCTAAAAATGCCATTTTTTGACTATTTATTGTAACTAACGCAGAAAGGTTTTATAGGTTTTATATTAACTCTTTTTTTATAAATTAACCGTTACGTTTTTTGAAATTTGTGATATCGTTCATGATATCCGTTTGACCGCAATTTATAGGAATCTGAAATTTAAGGAGCAGCTTTCAGACATTATAATTTATTTCATTAGAACATTCTTTCTCATCTCCACCACCTCCGCCAACTTCTCGCCCATCGAAAATCGTAAAACCTAAATTTTTGGTACTTTATATTATCGAAACTTCAAGCCTTTCCAAATTTCTATAAAAACGAAAAGCCAACCGTATTAAATGCCATGCTATTAAAGAGTATAACTATTCATCTTAACTCACTAATTTAACCGTTTAATTACACCATTATGCTAAAGTTATAAATTTTTTTCTCTTGCTCTCCCTAAATGTAGTAGTAAATTAATATATTTTGGTATATAAATAACAATAATTTGGATGACTTCGTACGACGTACACTGTTAAAAGAAGTATTTTCAATTGTTCAAGACAAAAGTGCTTTACTACAAACCATTGTTTTGATCCAACTATGTTTATTTATAAGCTCTATTATTAAATGGTTATAATTTGTGGTTCTCATATTGGTACTTTTGTTATTGACAACTATTAATTACAATTATGTTTCAGGCCAATTAAATACTATACGTATGTAATATGTATACAAATGTAAATACATATTTGTTTCACTAACAAACACTTTGTTTGTATTAAAAACTTAAACACTATTTGAAAATGACCTTTCATTGTTTTTATTTTGTGTTTCGAAAATGGTAAGTAAAACAGAAACTAAAAAATATAATTTATTAAAAAGCTTAAATTCAAGGAGAAAACAAAAAATTCTTTTTTTTTATTTAGTAAATCTGAAAATTCATTTCATGTTTATTAACACAATAAAGAACGATTAAATTATTTATTGTTTTTTGTTCACGATTAGTTTATACACATTGCTTTTACAAAGTCTGTGTATTTTTTTCTTAGTTAATTAATATCTTTATATACTTTTTTTGTTATTTACCATATCTAACGATGTTTAAATTCAATGAATTGAAACTTTTCATATTACATACATGCATGTACTTGTATCGATCTTCCAACCTTCAGTTTTTGAAACAGAGTAGACCGGTTAATTCCCAAATATTTTTTGATGAGCTTCTTTCGGACAATATGATCATGAATAATTAACCAGTTAATCAAGTGTTTTTATAGTTTAGCGGTAAACTATGTGTGTGTGTGTGTATAATTAATTTTTATTGTTAATTCATCAAACAGACTATAAAAATAGTTCATGTACATACAATCACCTTTTTAATTTTAAGCAGATGTACACGTGCGAAGGATATCATGATTTATATTCGTACTAATTAGAAGGAATCGCAAAATTTCAAAGATTTCATTAATCATCAAAATGATTGGGAATTTCGATTGATTTCGTTTGACAATAAATATGTAGGTGAAATATGCATTTATGCTACATGTAAAAGTTATTTACTTATAATATAATTATAGTTAATAGTAAATTAGAGATTAAAATCTAGTTGCAGAACATGTTTCTTTCTATTTTTTTTTACAAGAAATCAAAATTAAAAAAAAAACAAACGCTTCTGTTCAAAGAAAAAATTTGCATGCTGCCTTTCCCCGAAGTAGCACGAAAGTTCTACTAGCGCAAAATTTTAATATTACTACATTACAAGCCTTCAAAGCAAAATAATTTTACTTATATAACATAGGCTTTTTCTTATGCATGATCAATAGTAAATGGAATACCAATGAATTGTGAATTACATTTGCTTTTTATGCTTTATGATTGATATTTTCAGTAAATTCATTGGTACCTTTAGTTACCTTTATTAATTATTTTTGTAAATATTCGAATAAGTATTTTCAAAAACTGAAATTTAAGTTTAAAAGTTATATCGCATTGATGGTGAAATTAAAAAAAAATACATAATGACGGGTGATTGAATAATATTATAAGTTTCCACTTCAGCTTTTAGAAATATTTTAGCTTAAGATGCATATTGTAAAATTTTGCTTCAAACACTTTTTATTATGCATTGGTACATAAGTAATTACATATGCATGTGTATATACGTACATATTGTCTATAGAGAAACAACGAATTGAAACCACAACAAAAAAGAGAAAAAACAACAAAAACTTGAAAACCTTGTAAACGGATTTCTATTAAATAATGATGATGATGATGGAGTTGTACAAATTTCAGCTATTCATATAAATAAAAAAAATATTTATTTAAAAGGGACCTACATATTTTTAAAGCTTTTAATTGGGTACTCAAATTGAATATGTACATAATATGTAATTTGATTTTTCAAATTTGTCAACATCATATTATTTTTACTGTTTGCGATTGAATTAAGCTTAAAATCCATTATTTAAAAACCACCATTTTAAATCATTTTTTTAACTTTTTGCTTTTTTATGATCCTTAAATTGTATTATGATGTTACTACTTAGATTGTGTGATTTTTTTTGTGTCTCGATTGACTCCGGGCTCTGTGCTGATTGATCTTTTCATGGGAATTGTATGGGGTTGCGTTGACGAAGATAGCAACTAAGTATTATAAATAGCTTAGATTTGTTGTTCCTTGGGAGAAAATTGATTCGCTCCTGTTTCTGCAAAATTGGCCTGAAGTTATTTTATTCGGGAGTTGTTGGCGTTTTATTGTGGGCACCAAATATTTTGTCAATATCAAAGAAAGCTTTTAATCAGAATGTAATATACGTTATTATATATGTACGTGTATAAAGATATGCGAGTTAACGAAACTCTCACTCTTTCATAATTTTTTATTTTATTATATGATTCACTTTAAATGGTTACATAATATGGTTACATAACTTATGCATGTAGGTACACATAGTAAAAACAAAAATTGAAATATTTATGCATACAAACTTAAAAATATTTCATATTCCTATAAGAAATCCTAATTGTAAGAACACCTGTAAAATGAAAGGTTTATGTTTTATTTTCCTAAAAAAAAAAATAGTTTTTCTAATTTTTATTTGATTTTTTTTAAACACAGAATGATTTATTATATTTTGGCTGCAATTGCACTGTTAACTGCACCCGTATTATCATATTCAAGTGGAGCTCCAACAGCAGTTTGTGACACTTTAGCGCCACAGCACGGTGGTTTATTAAGTCAAGAAACAAATGTACCGTATACCTTAACATTAAGCTCAACTTCGGTTAATGATGTTGAACCAATAAGTATTACTTTAAAAGGCAATAGTGAAGCTGATGTTATTAAAGGATTTGTTATACAAGCTAGAGTTAATGGAAAACCAGTTGGTAAATTTGAGCCACAGGGACTTTCACAAACTATAGATTGCTCAGCCCCAGTAAGTGTATGGATTTATATAATAACAAATTTTTATGGGCATTATTATAAAATTAATTTGTAATATAAAAACTACAAAAATTCATTTTAGGGTGATACATTAACTCATAAAAAGATCTCAAAAGATATTAATCAAATTGACGCTAAATGGTATCCCAACAGTGGTTTAAAAGGTCAAAATGTACAATTTGTTGCAACTGTAGTGCAGCGCGGAGATATTTTCTGGGTGCAAAAGATCAATGAATCTGTTCAAGTTGTTTAAAGAAATTAAAGAAAGATTAAAATTGAAATTGTATGATTAAATAATATTAAAATGCTAAAATAATATTATATATGTATGTTGATATATTAAAAAAAAAGTTATGTATGTATAATAAATTAAAATTATTGAAAACTGTAAGAAAATAATATTAGTGGTAATATGGAAAATTTAGCAAAGGAAAATTTTTGATTTGCTTTATAAGCAGTTTTTGTAACGAAGCATAAATATAAACGTAAAATTTAAAAAACAAAACTACTTTAGAAGTTTTTCAACAAAATTTAAAAACAAAAAATGCTTATCAGTTTCACTCTTTCCATTTACAAAACTTTTATACCTTAAAAAGTTAAGAAAGTATTTAAATTATGTTAGTATCTTGTTATTCGAAAAGATAATTTTTCTACTCCTAGACCTAGACATTCTCCATGTCTTTTGAAATGATCGCCCCAGGCGATTAATAAAATATTAATTTTTAGCAACATATTTTTCCAAAAATACACGCTTTTCCAAATTTCTCAAAAAGCTAGCAGTCAATATTAATATCACCCTATATTCGAGTGTCGAAATCGGTCACTTCCTTTTTTGAAATCCAAAAGAAATGGCTTAGATCTCTCAATCAGATATTAAAATATCAGGAATTAAAATAACAGAACATTTTTAAAAAATAAATATACATACATACATACATACACAATTTTGGTTGCTCAAGAGAAAAGCGCCAAACAGTTTTATTCGAATTTATTTGTAAATTTTAAGCTTTGATATTTTTTATTTTTATAACTTATTTTCTTATATCAATGAGATTATATGCACAAATGTACGTAAAATCTTTGATGAAATGATAAAGAATAATTACAAGAACAACTGGTGATATTTATATAATAAGGGCAAATAAATTGTCAATGAACTCACAGCTCTCTAATTTTTTTAAATTTGTCATAATTAGCAATGCGTAGTCAGATTTCCGTATAAATAAAATAAAACTGTAATATTAATTTGTACTTAGAACTCATAAGAACAAATATTAAGAAAAATAAGTTGCAAAAATAACATGAAATTTTTAATAACACATATGCTATTCGTTGCCATACATACATACCCACACAATATTCTTAGGTGTTGAAAAATAATGGAACAAAAAAAAAACTACTAGTATTTTAAATTGTGTAAAAAATTATGCGCGAATATACCTACAAGTGAGTAATTCAAACTTGTTTCTGTCTTTTCAATTTAATACTAGAATTTTTTGGAAGGGGATCTTAATACATTTTCTGTTTTAATTTTTTTCCCACAAAATTATGCACTTTGCATTTCGGATAGTTCTACTGAAATAAAAAGCTTATAAACAAGTCAATTACAAATCAATTGCAAATTAACGTTCGGTTTAAGAAGAATCAACGCCATTTAAAGTAAGTTAATTATTTATTCTTAATTCGAAAAAAATATAAAAAGTTCATTTTAAAAATACTGAGTATAAAAAAAGTACATAACAATAAAATAAAAGTTATAAATATTGGTTTTTCATAATTAATCAATAAAATACAAATAAGTTCAAAATTTAATAATTTTGCCAAGTGTATGAAATTCTAAAAATGTGCAATAATACGTTAAAAAGATTACTGTGCATCTTCAAAATTCGCATATTTAAATAATAAATTTTAAATATCGAAAATATATGAAATAGTTTTTTAGCTGCTAACACAACTGTAAACAAAATAACTAAATTAGCAATTTGTGATATCTTCTTTTGATTTACTTACATATTACATGCATATGCATGTGCATACTTAAATAGGTTTCGTTTAATGGAAAGTTTACCCTTGGGAAGTTTGTTTTTGGAAAACTTGAATCTTTTCCAAGAAGTCATTTGTTTTGAAATTAATTTAATTATGATTTAATTTATTTCGAAACTTATTTATACAGTATATAATAATGTGTGTACACTTTTATGTAAAGTGGTTGATTAACTAAATAAAAATAAAAATAAAATAAAATAATGTACATATGAATGTGCATACATGCATATGTGTTTCATACCAAAATTTGAATAATCTTTTAAGTTTTATTACATTTTTAATTTTAAACTTGTCTGTGTTATGATTATAGATAATGTAACAAACTTTGAAATGAGAAACTTCTAATTTGAAAAAAGATTTATCCAATTCCTTTTTGTTTACAGAATGATAAACTATATAATTTCAATAGCGATATTGATTGCACCAGTGCTATCGTACTCTGGTGGAGCACCAAAAGAAACTTGCGGCGATTTAACACCGAGACATAGAGATTTTACGACACAAACAGCACCACCACCTTATTCTTTACTTGTTGAAACCGAAGCTATTGCTGGTCAACCTTTGAATATCGTTTTAAAAGGAAACAAAAATGATGACAATATTAAAGGTTTTATTATTCAAGCTAGACATAATAATAATCCAGTGGGCAAATTTGTTCCTGGTTCATTATCTCAAACTTTAGAATGCAATTTAAAGGTAAATTTTTATTAAAATGAAATCAAGATCTAAACGATTTTCTTGACAGGACGACACCTTAACGCATCGGAAAATAGACAAGGAAAATATTAATAAAATTGAGGCTAAATGGATACCTGGGGCGGAATTAAAAGGAAAAACAGTCGAATTTGTAACAACGGTTGTGAAACAGGCTAATGTTTTTTGGGTTAAGAAATTAACTAAAAAAGTTAATATTAAATAGTAATAAATTCAGTTTTGATAAATCATCAAAAAAACTTCACCTTTAAATTTTAAAAATTAAAGTCTACCATTTCTTATAAAAGTATTTAATTAAATTTTTAAATATTATTTTTTTTTCAACTTTTAGATTCTTATACCTACTTCAAGATATTAAAAAAGACTTTTTATTGTATTTTTATCATGTCAATTCCTTCTGTTTTATTTTTTTTTGTTTTTCCAGCCAATTGTTTACAAATTTTTCATACTCCCGTCGGCTCCTACATAAAATGACAAGAGAGGTTGGTCTACATCCAATCGATTTTAATTCCTCTATACGGGTTTTGGTTGTTTCTAGTCCATGGCACAAAACTCTAGGTACACGTGCTACGTCATATTTTGAAAATCCTTCTTCATCAAGTAAATAATCCAAAATTTCTTTTACCTTTTCAATATAAATTAAAAAACAGAAAAATTTGGTTAGTTCCCTATATGCATGTATGTGTATTTTGCTATATGTACCTTCGTAACTCTAACTGCTAGAACTTGTGAATGGTTTCGCAAAAGGACATCAACAGTTTTTTTATCTATATCTAGTCTTTCTGAAATGTAATCAATTACTGTGTTATCTTCCCCAAGAATATTTACTTCATCTAAAGATAATTTTAATGACCTAAATTGTTAAATTAAAAATTAACTGATAATTTCGATTGTAGCAATTTCTAAATAAAAAATTTAAGTAGGCTGGAATAGGAAGGTTTACCTTTGAAGTACTCTTTCAGGGCATCGAACCATCCACGGCATAATTTTATCCTTCTTAGCATCTTTGGCACGTTCTAACCTAGCTTTTACAGATTTTGGAGTATATCGGAATGCCCACAAATCTTTTAGTATGCTTAGTGGTGCCACACCGTACTTGATCATATGATTTAAGCTCTCTTGAAGCATATCGAAAGGCATTTCAAGAACAAATAATCTGTTAGATAAATAATTGCAAACCAATATTGCATCCATGTTTAACCTCTCACTAATATAATATAGTCGATTGATCGAGCTTGGGAATAAATTTTGTTCATTTGCTAGATGATTAATTAATTTTGTTAACCTGGGTACTGAGTGTCTAAAAAGTGGCACAAAATCATTGACATCTTTTACTTTGATTCTGTTCAATACTTCAAATTTTGCTTGTAATATTTCTAAAAAAAAATGTTGTAAGTATATTTTAGATATGTAATTGAGCAAAATCAGTTACTTGCACTATTTTTAAGTAACCAGGTATTATTCAATATATTCTTCTTGTATACACCTTTTTCATATAGCAAATCGAGAGTTAACTTAAGTGATTCATAATTTTTATATTTTTCATCTCTAAGTAAATTAAGAATTTCGTTTTCAGATATTCTGAAACTGTAGCGTAAAATATCTAGAACCTTTTCCTTGGAAGACTTTATACTACGTTCAGTATATGGGATTATATATTCATTTTCAAATGGATTTTCGCTTCTGAATTTATTATGTTTCTGAACATTTGCTTCTGAAAAGTCAACTGTAGAAACAACAGCTGCTCGTGTAGAATTTATCAAGCTTATAGATAATTTCTCGAACCCATTTTTGAATAATTGTTCCTGAAATTTTTTACAAAACAAGCTATTGACTCTCCACAATAAAATCCTATACATCTGCAATGTTTTTCAGTTACGAGCACTGAACTTTTGAAACGAACTAAACAAAGTAAGTATTTAATATTTACAATCTATAAGAATTTTTTAAGGTTAAATTTTGTAAATGTTTATAATGTAAACATCTGACTTTCCTTTATATCAGGGTTGCTGTGATCGTAGATAAAAGAAATTTTTAATATACGTTTTCCGTCTAACCCAGCATTTACACATACAAGTTACTTGCATGCAAGTTTGTATAATATTAATTGTCAATTAGTTGTTCGAAATGTCAAATTACTTGCTATTATGACGTAGGCGTTTAGCAAGTTAATTTTTGAAAATGTCTTTGAGAAGAAAACAACTAGCAATATATATAATTGTTTATAAATTTTAGAAACCATAAGTTTGCTAAGTTTAATTTTTTCAAAACAAAATTCAAAAATTTTAAATTAAAAAAAAAAAAAAATCAAAACAACAAATTTTTTTTTGTGAATTTCTCAATATGTCAAATTACTTGCTCAAATTACTGGCAACAAAATTTTCTTGCAAGTTGAACTGCAAGTAAACAAGCAAGTAGAAATATTTCAATGTGTTAGTAAAATTTTTGTATGTATTGCAACTTTCTTGCAAGTAACTTGTACGTGTAAATGCTGGGTAACGAATAGTGTTTAAACGCTATCGTAAATTTTTCAAATGCATTTTATTCATTATTACTTACGATTATTAATTTGAATACTGTTTCACATAAAACACATCAACAACAAAAAAAATATTTAAAGAAGGAAGCTATGCCGAGCCAAAATATTAAGGATATTCTTGATAATATAACCAATAGCAAAAACAAGAAATTTATAAACGAAATTTAAAATATCATGAAGTTATTCTTAAAAATTTTAGAAACAATGATATTATAAATCAGGCATGTCAAACTCGTTTATCATCAAGGACCATTTTAGGGTTTCCGCACATTGCTTCGAATATACCCAAATTTCACAATTTCACAATTACATATACCCAAATTTTTTATTGTTAGCATAAAAAAATATAAAATATACAAATACAAAAAAATATAAAATTATTTTTTTAAAGAAATTTAGCAACGTTTTTCTGTAACTAAATCTTCGAAATTTGGTTTCATTTGTAATTTCTAATATTGATTGTCTATGATTAATTTCGATCTTTCAGCCGTTTATCATTTTTTTGTTGTGTTTTGCTAACATGGCAAAAACACGCTCAGTTAATTTAAGGTAAATAATTATAAAGTTTAATAATTTCCGATTCTCTAAATTTTTATTTTAATACACAGAATTCTGTAAATCAAATTAACATTTCAATTGTAAATTTGATTTAAGCGTTTCAATATCAACAGAAATGTAAAAGTAAATAGGTTAAATTCATTTTGACATCTATTAAAATCCAAAAAAATTTTTCAAATTAGGCTTTTAATAATTTATCCAAAATTTCCGAATATATATATTCGTAATAGTGAAATTAAAAAGAAGGAAATTGAGAAATACAGAATTTAAAAAAAGGCTAACTACTCAGTCAAGAAAACAGTATGGTCTCTTAATCTATAAAAAATATTTACTAATGACCGGACTAGAATACTAGAAAAAGGGGAAAAACTTAAAACCGTTTTCAGAGGACATTCTATCAGCTATGTCCAACCGTTGCAAAAGCAAATAGGTTATTGCGGTAAAGGCTATCCTTCATCATTGGTATCTGCATTCGAAAACTCCGGCAACTACAATAAAGAAAACAAATTATATAATGATTTCATCAGGATAATAAATTAAAACAATATGCAATAGCACTGCTTTCATAATTTTTCAATTTTATGTCTTATGACTTCACAGACAACTGTTAAATATTTTGTACAGTGCCTTGTTTTTTGTGCCGTGGTTCACCACGGAAGATGAAATTCATGGCGTTAAATTCGCTTGGTTCTAGGCAGTCCCATTTTGATATGTATCTTGTTCTTTTTGCAATTTTATAGGGTTGAGAATGAAAATTTTATAAATTAACGAAATGAAAAAACAGCTGATTGTCAAAAATTGAAATTTAACTGAAGTGTGAATTAAAAATGTACTTTTTTATTCTTTTTGAGGAGTTTATGCCTCTTGATTGAAACAATAAAATAAATCTGTTTGGTATAAGAAAGTTTTCAAAAGTTTTGTAAAACTTGAAAAAACTATAAAGTTAAAGTATTCAAAGCGTCTGGTAAATACCTTCCAAAATAATAAAATATTTTTTGAAAATGACGCCAGCGTTTTCTTAATGCTTCATGTTTTTCAGATTTTGTAGGGAAAATTTAATGTTTTAAAAAGCAAAAGCTGTCGAAACAGGTGTTCTTCTTTGTGTATATACCACGGCTGACAGAAATGATTTTTTGTATTTCTATTTTGTATTCCCCTCTATTATGAACATCGGTATCGGCCGATATATTATCGGCAGTTCTAATCGGTTTTAAGTTTCTTCTGTATTATGAACCGATACCGATAAAAATATTTCAACCGATTAAAAGAAGCTTTTTCATACAAATTTTTGTTTTTGTAAATTGGAGAAAAAGTTTTTTTTTTTTCTAATGACATTTGTTTTCTTTCAAAAGTTATTTTCAAAAAATTTTTAAAACTATTTTGAATTTGGTTTTGATGTGCTAAAAAGTTGTTGTAAGCAAATTATTTTCTGTTAAATTTGTAAAATAAAAATATACATATATCGGGAAAATGTCGCGTGCATTATATTTTGAAAGTGAAGAAACGGTAGTAAGTGAAGAAACGCAAGCTATTCAAAGACGACATATAAGAGATTCAACTAATCCATTGGATTTAGACAACAAAATGTATGTTTATGTACCTATTTTATTTTATTATTTATATAATATGTACACATTTTTTAGGTTTATCCAGAATTTCAGATTATCATTCCTTGCCAGGTTTAAGTCCTCTTCCATTTTTTCTACTAACCGCGCAATTTGTTTTTTGTTGCTTACGATTTTACTCCTAAATAAAATATATGAATAACATTTTGAAAGAAAATAATTTAGAAAAAATGCTTACATTTTAAAAAAAGCAATCAATTACACCAGTTTCCTTGATAAAATGAAGATTTTACAAAAAAAAAAAAATCTGTCGTTTAAAAATTTGTACCCGCTTTTAAATCGGGGAAAACCCGACAATTTATCGTTTTCATAATACCAGCTAATACGTTTTCTATACAGTGAAAAAAAGCTTTCCCGACTCCGATAAAATTTACCGATAAACAATGTTGGTAATACAAACACAAAATTTTGCCGATAAATTATCGTTTATCGGCCGATACCGATATACATAATAGAGGGGATTAATTAAAAGTGTTTCTGTCAGCCGTGGGTTTCACACTTCTCTCTACTTAAGAGCTAGGGCCTGATCGACTATCTTGTTTTTTTTTCGGAAAATGAGAAGAAAGTAAGTAACTATCATATTCTTGTATAATGTAATTTTCAAGTGAGAAGAATTATTCCGATTGCGAATATCGTTTTTTTAAATTGTATACAAAAGTTTTTCACTTTGTTTTTGAAAGTGAAACATTCAACCGTTAATTTGAGAAAAAATGCTAAAATCCAATTAAAGAAATTAGTAATCATATTGGAAAAGTGACATATCCATTAGAACATACTTATAATACTGATTTGAAAGTTAATAAGAAGTGAGGAGCAGCCTGATCGTGTATCTCGCTTTTGTACCCACTTTTTATTCACTAGATTAAAGATTGATTGGGGTTTTAAAAATTCGTTAATTTGAAATTTTAGCTCTGTTAGTTCTTATTTGATTTTGATAACAAAAACCAGATGGAAATAAAATACCTGCTTTAAAGGATGTTACTAATGAATTATAAATGATACTCATAGGATTAATTCATTCTGAAGCAGACACATCCTAAAATCTTTGTTAAATTATATGTATGTCATTAGCAAGTTTTGCTCTCGATAAAAATCTAATTATTTTTGAGCCTAATGCAACTTATCAGTTAAAATTTGAACTGGAAGGCGACAATATGATTGAATTCAAATGCAATATGTATTGATACATACATATGTATTGATTAGAGCAGAGCTTATATTTTATGATAAAAAAACTTATTTTAATATAATTTATTTTTAATTACTCACTTTTTTTTGGACGACAACAATAGTCGACATCTACATTTAAAACCAGATTATGTTAACGGATCATCATTGCAACGAATAAAACAGATGTTTACATTATCAAAAATGGGAATATATGTAGCATATATTTATTATCAAGTGTAAAAATAAATTAAAATCAATATTTTATTCATTAAAATAAAAAAAAATACGTAAATATATGAATATTTATTTATTTAACAAGGACAATAAGTTCTGGAATTCTTAAAAACATTAATTTTCGGAACATTCTTTAGATTTCGCTTGAATACAATTCGGTTTGGGCATGATTACGCTTATGTAATTATTTCTATGGAATATATTATCAAATTCATCCGAAAGTTCCCAATTCCGAATGGGCCTATAATCACGGAATGGGTTTTTTTGACATTCTATCATTATTTGTGATGTTGCTTCAACATCAACTGAGCATATTTCTTTTAAATCTAACTTGGACTCCAGCCGCGTAAATGACGTAAATGCAATGGGTGTCCGTTGAATTTTCATAACAGTTTCTAAAGCTTTTCGCCACGTATTCGATGTAGATACACTTGAAAACTCAGAAAAGCCACAATTGAAACAAATTAACAGATTTGCTACAATATCGTCATTAAGTTTTTTGTTTTCCATGTAATCTTCAAACTTTTGCTTAAAGAACTCAAGATTGATTATTTTCTCCTGATCACCAACCGCGCAACTATAAATAGTGTTATTAGTTTTCAATAGTTCTGGTCCTATAAAATATAAATTTAATTTTGATATATTTGGCATTTGAAAAATCAAAAATTTGCATTGGGATTCTTGAAAGTAATAGAAATCATCTCTTGCTCCAACGATGTAGATTGTGCATGTGTTGTTTAGATTATGCATGAATTGGCAATAATTCAATACAAAAAGTATAGTAGATACGCAAGAAAAATCACAGATAGAAGCAAAATTTTGGAATGACGCTAGATCATTAATTATTTTCGGAATTTCTATTGCATTTGTACTCATTGCTTTTAATAAACTGAATAAGTCCATTGACTTCCAATTGAAATTGCAATAAACATTTTTTAAATTTAAATCTATAATTTTATCTTGCCAAAAGTTGTAATAAATCTTGAGATTATGGCAGTCTTTTAAATGAATTGGTGAATTATTTTGTTGACAAGTTAAGCTGCAATATGCAGCAATATTACAATTTGAGCAGTCATAAATTTTGAATGTTTTAAGATCCAAGCATTCATTACAAAATCTCGGGCAATTAATGTATTCCTCCTCATATGATTCTAGGCTCCTTTGCAAAGTATGAATCATTACTCTTTTTAAATTTGTAATAGCTTTTTGTAAATCTAATTTTGACTTAATTGGTCCATGAATTAAATGAGGATGATCAATTTTATAAGTCTTTAAAATTGTTTGAACTGCCTTACAAAATTCTTTATGAATTGTCCAATCAATGGTTTGATGTTTTACTCCACAATACGCTAACAATTTGCATCCTTGACAGGTTAGAAGAGTGTTGTTTGTTTTAGATGTTGATTGTCTTTCAAAAAAACAAATATTACACCTGTTTGAACACACAATATTGCTTTTCATGTTTTTGTGTTATTTTAATTCTTATTATAATTAAGAAATTTTTTTATAACATTTTACAGTTGATACAAACTTTTATTTTAATTTTTGTTCGAAGTTCTTTATAATTGAAAATAATTATAAATTGCAAATGAAAATACAATATACCTACTCAAATTAAAACAGATTAAAAGCAAAAGTGAAGTAATGTTTAAGTATGCAAAACAAAAACATTCAACAATATGTAAAAATGCCGTTAATTTTAATTTTAAGCATGAGTTAATTTGCTTTGTATTGTATTCTATTCAATAACACAAAAACCAGTAAATTATTATTAAACAGACTTAAAGTGACAAATAAATTTGACATTTTATTTGACACATTGATTTATGGGCTGTTCATATACTACGACAGTTCTACGAAGTCTCAAAGTATTATTCAATCCAGGAGGATAGTTAAATTGCTGCGACATTTGATGACAATTCAATAACAAATCTCATTTTTAATTTGAAAATAAAAATTAAATTAAAAAACACCAAAAAATTTTTGGATTAAAATATAGAAAAATTGTCACTTTTCAATTGGTTGAAAAGTTGACAATTTTGAACTGAAGTAAATGAAAACAAACTTTTAGTCCTCGAACAAAAATACGAAGTTGTCACGTGTGTTTTTTTTTTTCCTTCTTCACTCCTAGGAGGAATATAGGGCTAGTGCATGATATCTATCATGCCCTAGTTTCTATAGTCATAGAGAGTTAGCTTAGGTAGGTGACTAGCCTACCGTAGTTTTTATTTATATTAAATATTTCAGTTTATTAATATTTACTGTTTATTTTCTTAGTCTTTAGTATCGAATATTATGAATATTTGAAAATTACTTGTATAATATTTATTAGTATTGCATATTAAGTTATATAATATTGAATATAATTTTTATAGTGACCTGACCGAGGTTTGAACCCGAGACCCTTCGTTTAAAGGGCAGGTGCCATAACCACTGCACCAATGGTCAGATAATGGTCCCGTGTGTATTGGTTTGAAATTTGAAATTTGGGTAGGGTTTTTATCTGAATTAAAGCAAATGAACACCCAGCTTATATGAATGTCTTTTCCTTTTCATAACCTTTGATTTACAACCTTGATTAAAAATAAATACATAATTCCAATTTAATACCTAAGTAAATTTTTTACTTAGGTATTAAATTGGAAAATATGTTTGAATCGTTTTTTTATTTTAACGTGAGGGTACCCTATTGCTAATTGATCGTCTTTAAGCGATATGACTTTCATCAAATAAAAAAAGAAAATCTTTCTTTCTATTTTCTATTCTTTTTTTTAAATTCCGATTTGGGTCTTAAATCTTAATTTAGTCATTAAAAATAAAAAGTTCATCTGTTAACGTGTTTTTTTCACTTAAAACAAAAATTTAAAAATAATTGCAAAAACAGAACCGACGGCGACAGAACAGCTGTGGTTATGTAGAACAAGATCGAAACGGCAAAATATACTTTACACTACTCAAATAAATTTTAATAAGTAATAAAAGCTTCTAGACATTTCATACATGTGTACGCTTTTCCAAATTGGAAAAAAACAAAAGAGTCAACTGAACCACTCGACAAAAAAATTATCTAATTTTTTTTTCCTGTAATGTAGTATTTCACCCAAATCATAAAAAAATTAACAAGGTCTGGAAGATTTTTTGTAATCAATTATATAATTTGCTATAACAGAAATATGTTAAAATGTCAGCATTAATTAAATTTAAAAAAAACTTGAGTTTTAACCTTTTCTTACTTATTAAAAATCATGTGGGCGAAATCTTATTTGAAGTTGGTTTTGGTTTATCCTTTTTTTAAATAATTTTGTTTAAGAAAAATATGTGTATGTATAATTATTTAGATGTTCTGTACGAAGTATGATTACTAGGTAGCATTTAAACATATGTAAATTAAATTTGACAACCATGAAATTGGATTTACAAATTCTGTTTACACATCAAACTTTATTTGATCAAATATGCTGCCAAATTAAATTTTTTTTATTGATATCGAGATATATCCATGTGTTTGTTTAAGATTATTATTAAAAAAAAGAAGGTACTTAAAAAAAAATAAACCAATACTAAATAAGTAATGCCTTTTGTAAGCCCATTAAAAATCACTTAATATTAGATATCATTATTAAAACAAAAACTTCTAAAAATTTCGAATAATTACTTCCATATGCATATGAAATTACTTATTGCATTAAAAACTTTACTTATAAAATATCAGGAAAAAAATTATATTCATATATAATTATATTAAATGTAATTCAATTACAGGCTCTTCTTCTATAGTTAAAAAGAAAATATATACCTACTAATTTATTTTATGTACATTAATATTTGCGTCTAAATATATATATGTATAGATAAATATATATTTTGCTATATATTTAATAATAAAATATGTGTATGTCGTATACCGTCCAAGCAATAATTAACTTTAATAAACAAAAAAAATTAAATTTTAAAATACTAAATTTTGCTGACCATAATAGACAGTTGATCGCAGCACATATAACGGGAAGAAATTTTTTTCTCGCTATTTTATTTTTTTTTCTGCCTAAAGTTTGTTAAGAATTGAAGAAGACTCTACTTTTCTCGTTCAGTTTTGCTTAATTTAATTCGACGTTTACAAATCAAATTCTTATCAAATTTCCATCCAATCAAATAAAATCGCCAAATTTTTCTTCATGTGGAAACGTTACATTACATGTTTTGTTTTTAATTTTTTCAGGCTGTCGAAGAATTGGGAGTATAGTTTTTTGTAGGAAAATTTTATCTTGAACGGAACATACATATATGACTAGACTATTTATATCGCAAAGAATAAAATTTCAAACGTCAATAAAGACTTTAGTAAAAACAAAAATATAGAAATAAACAGAAATAGAAAAAACGTCAATTTCATAAATACATTGAAATGAGTGTAGTTTGTTTTCCTCAAACACCATAATTTATAAATTTTAAATGTTAAAGGATTTAAAATATATTAGTTGCGTAAGTTATAAATAATTTTATTTATGAAGAAAAATCTTAGAACTTTATGAGTAATATGTAAAAATGAAAGTTAATTAGAAAGGAATCTTAGAGAAATCATCAATAATTATTACAATTTTAATTTATTTGAATAAATAAGGATGTAGACACAAAAACAACATTTTTATAAAATATGTTAACAGTGTTATTAACTTTCTTATCAGAAAGATTTTTTCAATAACAGAAACTTTAATAGAGTGTTCAATTTATAGAGATAATTTTAAATTAACTTTTCATTAACTACTACATTTTTGATCAATAAAATTTTCTATTTGTCCAAGTCGTCATTAAAAATCATTAATACATACATATTTGTATGAAATAAAATAATGCGAATTAAGGAAGATACTTACTTAGATCCAATAATACATTTAATCCAATTTTGTTTTTTTTCGCTTTGAAATTGAAACTGCATTCGGTTTTTTAAGTTAAATACAAAAATGTTTCTGGATTTTAAAACAAAAATAACAGAAGCAAATGCTAAAAACATAACTCATAATTCAAAAACTTACCATTAACATTAATATATTAACTTAATTTTAAGTACCTACCAGCCTGCCAGCGTATTTTAAATAATGAAATAAATTTAAAGTTGTTTACTTGTTATTGTTCAAATATGTATTTTAATATTGAAATAAAGTTAAGTTGAATCTTAAGTCAATATTAAATCAATATTTTTATATAAAATATGTACATTCTTAAAGAATATAAAAATTAAAATTTGTTAAATTTTAGGAAAATACATTAAGTTACCATGGTATGGTGTTGATGTGGTGCAACAATATGGAGCGATAAGAATTTGTTTATTATTCATAAATGAAATATGAATTAATTTCATCAAAGATTTCTGTCAGCATAAATTTAACATTGATGGAATTATTTTAAATAAGAAATCTATTGCCAAATTTTTAGCTGAATTTTAAATTTTTTTTTATAACAAGGTAGCTACAAATAACTCGAATATAACTAGTGCAAATATTTCCTGTGTATCAATGATACGTTAACTTTTTTTTAAACTTACTTTTCATTGTGATGATTTTAAATGGATTAATGGCATCGCGCATGAAATGCTATGTTTTCAAAGCTGTGATTTTTATTGGCATAGTTTTATTAGTATTTTTTAATTTGTTCAATAAAGAACAAGAAGTCAAGTTAGATTATTTTGCATTTTCTCATTCAAAACTTTTAAGACTCAGTTCAATACATGAAGAAAAGAAGTCAGAAGATAATTCATCTGAAAATATATATACATTGATTTATGGAAATAATTCGAATATAGAAGGTATTACATTTAATACACACAATAGTTCTTTACATTCCAATCATGCTTTATTAATTGAAAGTTCTGATTTTAAACGAACATTTTATGAAGTAGCTAATAGTAACGAAACAGAAAATTTATACAATAATAGTAAAACAATTGGCAATATTACTCTTTGTCCAATGTTACCACCGGATTTAAATGGTCCATATGAAGTAGATACAAAGTATGAGGCAACTGAAGTTGTTGAAAAACGATTCAAACATATATTCCAACCTGGTGGTTTTTTTACACCGAAACACTGTGCACCGCGTTTTCATGTGGCAATAATTGTACCATTTCGTGATCGTTATACTCATTTACCAATATTTTTAAAAAATATTCATCCCTTTCTAATGAAACAATTAATTTCGTATGAAATTTTTATAGTAGAGCAAACAAATGGAAAACCATTTAACCGGGCATCTTTAATGAATGTTGGATTTGTAGAAGCTTTAAAATTTTATAATTGGGATTGTTTTATATTTCACGATGTCGATTTATTGCCGCTGGATGATAGAAACTTATATACATGTCCAGATCAACCACGTCACATGTCAGTGGGAGTCGATATTTTTGGATATAAATTACCGTACAATACAATTTTTGGTGGTGTTTCATCTCTTACAACAAAACAATTTCAAGCTGTAAATGGTTTTTCAAATTCATTTTGGGGATGGGGCGGTGAAGATGATGATATGTCAAATCGTTTAAAGCATGCAAAATTTCATATATCGCGGTATCCAATAAACATTGCCAGATATACAATGCTAAATCATAAAAAAGAAAAAGCGAATCCAAAACGGTTTGAAAATTTAGCTTACGGTGCTCGAAAATTCAAAACAGACGGTTTAAATTCATTGAAATATGAAATTTATACAATAAAAAAATTACCACTTTACACTTGGTTATTTGTGGACTTACAAATGCAAGAGTAGATGCCAATACTATTTATTATTATTAAATTTTTTTTAAAAATTATTTTTAATATTTAAAAAAAAATTAAATATTCTTTTATATAACATATAGAAAAATTGTAGCTAAATAAATATAACAATTGTAAATTGTTTTTCAAATAATACTTATGTTAAATATTTTTTAAATAAAAATTTTAAATGTTAATTCTAATAATAAAATCAATAAATAAAGCAAGTCTGAGTTCAAAAATGTATCTATTTGATATTATATTGAAAATAATTTTATTGTATTATTATTTGAAAAAAATATTTACTATATATTAAATATAGCTGAAACACAATTAAAATTTTACTTTCAAACATTAGTTACATTAGATAGTGATGCATAAGCTCTGAATTATTAACAATGGTAAGTACTTATCCGATTCTACCTTAAGACAAAGTACTTATAACACTTAGTATTGGCAAAGGTTTTTCTGTAACTATAAAGAATAATAAAGGAAAATGTCAGTAATTTGTTTAAATAAAATTTTAAATAAACAACAAAGTTTTTGTAACATTTAACATACATATGTATATCTGTATACATAAATATATATAAATACATATATATGCATATATATGCATGTGTGTATGTTTATTTGTATAACTTCATCTATTGTTAGTATCCACAAAAAAGTTTTTATTATTTTTTGAAATTATAGCTATATAAATTTTCTTAATTTATTACTCGTATGTATTTATTTTTTTCTTTTTATGAAAAATTATATTTTAGAACCTATAGTAGCGTTTTATATAACTTTTTTATGAAATATAAAAATTGTGCACCAAAATAAGCTTAGGATTATATTATTATCATTATAAATACATTAATCTATTATTTTTTGTGACAATTCTGTAATTTGGATTTTTTTTATAAATTTCTACCTTGACTAGAAAAGTTCAACGCCATTTGTGTATATAAATTTTCGAGTTACAAATTTTAGAAGATGATTTCATAATTATAATAATTTAAGAAAAAAAAAATATGTATTAAAATCATATTTTAGAATAGTATATTCCACATTTTAATGTTTCTCATAACATTTTGAGAGTAATTTGATCTAACAAATATCAATAGATATGACTGATAATAATTGATCAAATGAATGTTTGTTTTTCAATAATGAAGTAAAATATTTTAAAAACTTATATTTTTTTTATGTACCATTCTGTATTTTTTATATGATAAAAAGGTCAATTCTTTTACTTGTTTAAGCAAGCTTTAATGAAATTAATAGAAAGTTTAATAAAGAGTTTTATTGTGATAAACTTTTTATAATATATGTATATTAAAATAGTTTTATTAAATGCGAACTGTATTTAATATCTCTTATTTATCTAACAAGTATTTTATTCGTATAACATTCTTAAATTTTCTTTGAAAATATGTTTTTTCAACCACATACATATAACATCAAAAAATATTTTGTTTTTTTTTAATAATACTTTGATAAAATTTGTAGTACATTTGCAATTTCAACAATAAAATAATTTTACTTATAACGGTAAAACATAGTTTTCTGCGGGGTTACACTATGTTAACGGGAATCAAGAGGATAAAAAATTTAACATTATTTTTAAAGATTCTAAAAATATAAAAGATTTTTGCTTAAAAAATTTTTAAAATTTTTATATAAGATATAATTTTAATATAGTATTACATTAAGTTTTTTAAGCAAGATCTAAAGAGTTTTTCTCCTTATTGTTATAAATATATTCTTATATTCACTGTAAATAAAAAATTTTTAGGACATTTTTTTTAAATTTTTCTAAAATTACTTTTAATACATATTTTAATAGCTCCAGTTGAATTCAAATGGAAATTTCAATATGTAAATCACAATTTCATTTAGCAAAACAAATCTATATAGTATTAAAGCTATTATTGTATGCATTTGTATATGTTTATGAAAATTTGTGACATAATACTTATTTTATTAACTAATAAATAAATAGCCATTGTGTTTTTAATATTTTGGAGCAGATACATACATATATAGTATTTTTGAAATTGACATCTATACATTGTTCACTACACGGTTTTCTCATTTACATTTTACAAAGTTTCAAATTATATTTGGTTTTAGTTCACAGCAAAATTTTTATAATTTTCAAATTCACATTGAAGATTTTCTGTGCATTGAAACATAATGTACAATAGGCTTAATGCATATATAATCCATTATAATATTTAATGCCTATTATAAAATGAATATGTCCTATATTTAATCTCGAATTGCTCTTTTGCGTTCATATGCAACTTGCATTGACCATATACTTAAAGGTCTCATATAGGCAATTGAACGAAAATGTTTTTCTGCGTATAAAGCTTCAGGTGTTTCGTAAATCATACCAAAACGTTCTGTCATTGTTTTAAATAGACCGCCAGCTGTAGCAAAAGCTTCTTCAAACATTCCCTAAAATTGATAAAAATATTATAAATTTTAATGATAACATTATATCATATGTATTAATTTTTACTTCTTGTATCATAATCGCAGCTAAAGCATATGTTACCCCGGTCCAGACTTCCTCACTTTGAAGTGTGAAGGTATCAACATGACCTGGTTTTTCGGGATCGGTTGTGTTTGGTTTGAAACCGTTAACTGCTCCCAAATTACCATTACAAAAACCTTTAACATTATTATTATAAATTGTTTTCAGTGCCGTCCTTACATTTTCTTTTGGAAATATCTACAAAATAAATAATTCAAATTAATCATTGTTAATTGTGTTAATAACTTAAAATATAAAACATTAATAATTGCGTCCGCAATAAAAACAGATCTATTATTTACTTCATAATCAAACCCACAAATTTTCAAATACCAATGACCACATAATTGGTCTGCCATTATGGTGTCTTTATTATTGGACGAATCAAATTTGTAATAACTTCCATTCCATAATTTTTCTTCATATGATCGTTTTCCTTTCTCTAAGATTTCTTGATATTTAATACAATCATTTGGTTGATCGAGTATTGTTGCCATAGCTGATATACATTGTAGTGCTGCTAACCATAGTCCAGCACAATATGAACTCGGTCCTTCCATTGTCCAACTATCGTACGTTTGATCAGGAGTTTTAGAATTTTCAATAAGACCATCATTATCTTTATCCCATTCGATTGTTTTTTCAATAACTATTTTACATGCTGGATACATTGCTTTCAGATAAGTTAAAGCATCCATTAAATAAACTTTACCATTAGTGTCATTTATGTATATAGAAGCAGATTTTCTATTTTCTAAACATTAAATAAAAATGTAAAATTCGATTCATCAAGAATTATAAATGTTTAAACAAATACTTTTCTCATCTGTAAAGCCGTTTGCATGTTTTGTTCGATTGTCTTGCAAATACATTTCAAATAGACTATCTTTATCAATAAACTCAATGGAACTGAACTTGCTGGCGTTGTCAGCCTGTGCCTGTGCTAATTCATTCAAAACATAGTAGTCTCGATAAGTTTGAAGTATAAATTTGGAATTTAAATCCTTCCATTCACCAACATCATGAATATTATAACAGTTAATTAGTACAAATGGTTCTTCATCTGAAATAGTAAATTTCCATTATACGTCATATATATTCTTGATTTCAATAAAATTATAGTATTTACCGGGATCACCTAGATCATGAGGAACACATGACTTCGTTTTTCTTGGAGTCATTTTCCCATCAAATAAATTTTTACGTGGATCATTTATTTCAGCTGTTATAGCATCCATGACATCATATTGCATGCTTACCTATACGAATATAATATATTTGCACCATATAATTAGAAGGATTATTATTTTTTCTTATATACACGTACCTGTAAATTTGGCCACAAATTTGCCAAAGCGTGTGAAGCATAAAAATGTACATCATATGTATTATACATTCGATATTCATGACCTTCTAAATAAGCAAATCTGCCATAAGCTAATCTAAATAAGTAACCGGTTCATATATATTATATGAAATTTTCACATTACAAAAGTTTCTTTATAATGTACTACTATACCTAGGGTCGTCATATGCTAATTCCTTATCGAAACTAGAATCACATGTTAACCATAAAGTTCCTCCATCTGATACATAATAAAGTTCATTGAATATTGCACTTTTATACCAATCAGGTAAATTACTACAAGATTAAATTAAATTTGAAATTAGTAAAAATTATTTAAATTATTTTTAATTCTATAGAATAATATAAAGACTATACCTATCTTCAAGTATAGGTCGTTGCCATGAATCAATTAATTTTTCCCAATAACTATAGTTTTTTAATGCGTAATCGCATAACTTTGGTCCAGCGTCACCAGAATCACCAAAATATTTTGTATAATAACGTTTATGTTCTTTTAATTTCTTAGAAAAATTAATAACTGGCATATCCCACGCTAATGAAAATTCTAAATCTTGGGTTTTCTTTGATTTTACTAATACTTGAGCTGATAATGCAACTCCAATATCTTTAGCTATAAATAAAATTAAAGAAAAATTAATACATATTTAAATAGATTTTCGAACCAAAAATTATCTTGTTTTTGAATTACGAACTATTTATATTTTACAAAAATTATTAAATAATTGCTAATCTTACATTTTAAATTTTCATCAATAATTTCTTCTTTAATAATTCCATTCTCATTTAATTCATTCCATAGTTTTTCACCATTACTAGATGGATCAAATTTTGTACAACGTGTTATATTAATTTCAGGTGATATTTTACAACCTAAATTATATGAACATTTCATTCCACATATTGTTTGTTTAATGCTAACGCCTTTAGTTTGAGATTCAGTTAAAAAATTTTCAATTGTAGCACCACCATCTGCATCTTGTTTTTTATTACCAGTACCATTTTTAAAAGTAAATGTAATTGTTACTTTACGCTCTAAATCACATACGTTTTCAATTGACCATACAAATACTGTACATGGCAGACATGATTCCTTATATTCATGTGGTATAATTGGTGATATTTGTCGGCCAATTAATTTAATACCAAATTCACTTAAATCAATTTCTGACCATGCTCTTGGATATAGGCCAGTATATTCACATTTTTCTGCATTTAAATTGCTTTCCCATGAATTGAGTGGATGTTTTGGACGACTGCAATTCAGAAAGGATGAATGATGATGCCTTTTGGTTCTTGTTTTATTTTTTTAAATTGATAATTTGATGGATTGTATATTTTTTTTTTTTGTTTGTTTTTTTATCATTTGTACGAATAATAATATTTTTTTTGTTTTTGGAAAATTATTTGTGAATTGTGCATTTTTTAAAAACAAGCAGTTTTTTTTTTTAAATTGACGCCAAATTATATGCAAAATAATAAGGGGAATAAATTTATTGTGTGTGTTTTTAAGCAACGTTTTTATGAAGAATTTATTTTTGTTTTGTTTATTAAATATAATTATTTTTTGTGTATTACCATCAATTTTGTTTTAATATTAAAGATAAAAGCACATAATAATTTCAATATGCAAAGTTTTTTTATTGCAAACAATTTAGGATGTTAAAGCCCGTAAAATATACATGCAACATTTAAAGCATTTTACATAAGTTTCAAAAAGAAAAGAAGAAAAGAAAAATTTTTATTAATTTATGTATTTATTTGTGCACTGAATTTACCTAAAATTAAATATTTCAAAATTTAAATTCAAATTCAAAATTGAAAACTTTCTATTTAATTGATAATTATAAAATTGAAGTCAAAAAACAAAGTTTTATTCCGGAATTGCTTTGAAATGGTAGAAAAAAAATTTAGTATTAACTCAATGTTGTGTGGTATAGTATAATCTAATTTATTCATGCAAATTTTTACTAATTTTTATTAAATATATATTAAATTTTTAAAAAAATTCTGTCATCAAATTAACATAGTAAATTTTTACAAAAGTAAAGATAAATGTAATCAAAGAAAATTTCAAGGCAAAAAGTTCAGAGTTTAAAAATTAAAATAGGGTACATATACATAATTATTTTATTCCCCACCCTATAGGTACTTTTTAAAAACTGTTAAATCATTTTACAGAGAATTTTTACTAAATAATATAAAGAAAACAAAATTGTATGTAAATATATGTTTGAAGTTGTAGAAGTATGTAGGTATCATTTTATATTTTATATTCAATTTTATTGATTTTTAATTTTGATTTCAGGACAATAAGCATATTTAGTATACATATGTATATGAAAATTATGCTTGTACATTCACACGCATACATATACGTACATTGTATTAAACAATCCAAGGTTGTTGTACATTATAAGTGTATTTAGAGAGAGTATAGATTCAACAAGTTGTTGCAATTTTTCTTTTTTTATTTTATTCCTTTTATTGCTTTCTTGTTTTGGAAAGCAATTCAAAAATAACATTTTCCAAAATTAAATATTTTAAGTACAGAAAAGAATAATGAAAGAAAAATAGCAAAAAAAATTTTTGTACATTTTTAAAAATAGAAAATTTTATACAAAAAAATTTTGCCAAGTATATTTCCGTTGTTTGCTTTTTTCTAAATATGTATAAAATGTAAGTATATGTATATAAGTGCATGCATTCGTTTTCAAGTAATAAAGATATAATCAACAACAAACTACATTAATATGTATATATATATGTAACAAGGATATTTTCAAAAATTTACAAAATATGTAATATAATTTTAGAATTTAGATGGGGGTAGTGTTTTCTTTTTATATATGTATGTATAACTGCACATAATAATTACTAATATAATAATAATTACATTATTTACTGCTACACATAATGAGTTACGTGTTAATTTTATAACTGAATTGTCTAAGTGCATAATGTTTAATCTCTATAGGTAATTTTTTCTCTAAATTTTATTTTAAATAAAGAATGCTCGGCTGAAGATGAGCTTTTTAACGATGTATAAAACTAAGCTTTTTTTAAGGCTTTGACATTTTGTTATCCTATTGTGGGATTGTATGAAATATATCAAAATTTAAAGAAGAGTGAAGTACAACTCTTTAATTTTTTAACCCAATGAAAAGGTTGGTGGAATTTAATTTCGGTTTTTGTGATATACAGGGTGATTAAAAAGGGTATACAACAACATATATCATTCTTTAGAGGATAGAAAATGGGTAAAACTTTTGTCCCGGACTGGGTGCCAATTCTCAAAGGTTTCCGAGTTCTAGGGACTTTAACGAATTTTCACGAAATTTTTGCTTATCCAAGATTTTTTGATTATAACTTTCGTTCCGAAAAAGATAGGAACTTAAGCAAACACTTTTTAAAAGGTCTAGTAAAAACTATGCTGTTGGATTTTGTATTTTATAAACCTTCAGATTAACAAGAATCCTAACTTTAAGGAAAATCAAATTTTTCAATTGTTTTATTTTTCATTTTTTTTAACCAGATAATTTCGTAAGAAATTTTGTGAACCTTGAATTTTGTTTTTAATAGAATTTTGCTTAAACTTTAATTTAAGTCCTTAAACATTAAAAAATTTTTACGGTACAGACGATATAGCACGAAAACAACAAACATTGTGAGCCAAAAATTCAATTAAAATCAAACCAAAACTTGATAAAACTAAAATTAAATTCAATTTAATAATCCTTTATCAAAAATTTTGGAAAAATACGAATTCCTTATCCAAAAATTTTACAAATTTCTCAAAACAAACACCAAATTTTCTTATGAAATTCAACTAATTCGAAAAAAAATAATGTTTTCCTTCATTCTATTCAATCGCATATTTTAAATTACATAATTTCTTTACTGGAACACCTTCTTAATTTCATCAACTGTACACCAAATTTAGTTTTTGTAGAAATTTGCTTAAAAATTATTAATCTCATTAAATTATTTGTTAATTATTTAGTAACTTCATAATGCTCATACCATATCATTTACAAACTCCATTTTGTACGAAAAAATTAAATTTTCCTATTGAAAAAATTTTTTTTCTAATAAAATAAATGTCAAAATTTATATGGCATGCCTTTAAAAATTAGCTCCAGCTGGATAATTTTAATAACTTTAGATGCCAAATGGTGTCTAGATTTCGAAAATATTTTTTTTAAATTTTTAAATTGCCCCCAGTGTGAGAAAAATGCATTTAAAAATTTCAAACCATATAGGTACCTTTTCTTATAAAAACTGGGAAAAATAAAAAACCTATAAATTTTTTTTACCAAGAAAAGTTTCGAAAAAAAATTTTTGATTACTTGATTTTTTTTGTTTTTCCTAATACAAAATTCTAGTTTTTCTTTTCAAAAATTTCAAATTTTTTAAAATAAATTTTTGTTTTTCAAATTAAAAAGTTTATATAAAATTTCGTTTCAATTTTGTTATTATTTGCTACATTTCAATAAAAATATTAAAATTCAGATTTTTTATCAAAATAAAGGCTCATAAAAATGTCAACTGTTACGCTAGAAATAGTTGATAGTTACAGCGCTTTAAATCAATGAAAATCAAAAATAGTGAAAAATAGGATTGTGCTATATCTTCTGTATCATTTTGAAACCTCGAAATTTTTTTAATATTCCACTACTTACATTAAAGTTAAAGCAGCTGGGCAAAATTCTATAAAAAAAATTTCGAGGTTTCAAAAGATATTTACGAATTTATCTGGTTAAAAAAAACTGAAAAATAAAACAAGTGAAAAATTTGAATACTTGGTACTCTGAAAATACACAACATACAAAAACAAACAGCATGATTATTTTAAGTCCTTTACATGATTATTTTAGAACTTTTAAAAACTGTTTGTTTGAAGTTCCTATCCTTTTTGAAACGTAAGTTATAACCAAAAAAACTTGCATAAGTAAAAAATTCGTGAAAATTCATTAAAATCTCTGGAACTCAGAAACCCTCGAGATTTGGCACCTGGTCCGGATCAAAAGTTTTACCCATTTTCGATCCTCTAACCAATGATATATGTTGTTGTATATCTTGCAGAATCACCTTGTATATATACTTATATGTATATGCTTTTATATTTTTTATATACACATTATAGTTTAAAATTTATGCTGTAATTTAAGACCGTTTGGGTTTGAATAAACATTTTATATACATAATTTTTTAAAACAAGCATATTTTATTTTTACAAAAAATATTTATATTGTACATGCATAATATTTTATAATTCGATTTTAAAGCAGTTTTCATTGAAGTAGATGCTTCAAAAACGTTCTTTAAATTACTCAGTTCAACATTTAATTGAATAATAGAAATACTTCTTATTTCTTTGAAAAGTGATGATACTATACTTTTCAAAAAAATTGAGTGTTTATAAAAAGAACTTTTAACCTAATATTCTTAAAATTTTGAAATCTTTTAAGAAAATATTGGCTAAACGATTTTTAAATATATATCTTTGTTAATAGTGTTAACAGATTCTAATTAACAGCATATACATACATACATCTAAATATTTTTTTGCATCGTTATATCTAAACTTACAATTTTGAACAGATATTTCAAATATTTGTACAAAATTTCTAAAAACATTGCACAATATACAAATTTAAGTACAAATAATTCTAAAGAACTTTAGCTATCTAAATATAGTAAATTTATTTAATAATTATATTATATTAACTAAAATATTTGAATGCACATGCAGTATTATCTATGAGTTTTCATATTAACTTTAAAAATGCTAGTATAAATACATATGAAAAACATAAAAATGGCATTTTAAAAGCACATAATGAAAAATTTTAATTAAAAGTAAGATTAAAAGTAAGTAATGCAAAATCTATCTTTGTGCTAGCTATGTATGCATATAGCTGGGTTATTTTATTATAACATTTACGTTTAGGTTGCTTTAAATTCTTATTGGAATAATTGAAAACAATTATATGTTAGCGAATATTTTTAAATTACTTTGATATGTATTTAAAATATTGATTTTTAATTAAAACATAACAGTCATATATACATACATATAGTTAAATTCACTGTATTTAATGGTAATTTTAGAACTTACCTGTAACTTGATAATAAACTTTGAAAAATAGTTTTATCATTTTCATCTTTAATTGTTATTATAAATTGATTTGCATGCACAACATTATATTCGTACATTCCGGGACGCATTTGGAAACGTAAAAATTCACCAGCAAAACCACGTCCAATTGTACCAGCACCAATGCCACCAATCGGTACACCATATGTTTGTCTGCTATTCTCAAAATAATAATAATCCATAACTGCACGACGTCCTTCACGTGAAGTTTTCCAATAATAAACTAAATATCTATGAGAAAGAAATTTTTTTTTAAAAATATAAAATTTAAATTTGTCAAAATATGCAATGAAATGCATTTATGTATTTAGGTCATATGTTTTTGTAGAAAGGTAAATTGTATAATATGAATAAAAAAATACTTGACGTAAAATATTCCATGATATTACTTTAATAACAATAGTACATAATGCTTTGGATTATTCGAACACATTTGTTCCAAAATTAAAACAAATTTGGAACAAAATAAAAATTTGGTTGAAAATAGTAGTTTTGTGTTGCATGGTGAGGTTACAAGTTTTGTAAACTTTTTTGAGTCAGGAAAAAAATTATTTCTTTACTTGTATACATATATAAATGAGGTATATTTAAATAATACGGAATTCAGGTTTATTTTTCCTTGTAAATTAAATTGATTTACAACAATTGTGCAGTTTAATAATTGCAAATTTAATAAAATAAATATAGTATATTTATATTATATGTAACGTATATAATTATAAAATTTTTAAAGTAAAAATAGAACAAAACTGATAAAGTTTGTGTAATCGCATTTTTTTATTATCACTCACTTAATAAGAAGTGATTTCAATGTACGATTATTTCGCATTGTAGTTACATATAGTATAATATGTTTGATTTATATTTGTGTGCGATTAATATTATGTATGTAAGTGTATTATAAATTTGCTATTCGACTTATAAAAAGTACTAAGATTTAAGTACTAAGAGCAATTGTTTGCAAACGGAGGTTTGATTTGAAAATTTTATTTTTATGAAAATAATTTACTAGAATTTGATGTTGTTTCTACTAATTAAAAATTTAAGAAAAAATCCGTATAAATACACTCAATTTATGTTTAATCAATTATACGCAAGCATGTCCACAATGTAGATTTTCGTAGATTGAAACAGATTTGTTTTTATTTTCCTTAATTCAATGTTAATATATACATATGTACATATGAGATTCTCTAAATATTTTCATTTATTCTCAATGTTGTGATTTCTTATTTATGTATGTATTTATTTGCAAACAAGTTTTCTCTTTTATTTTAGCATACAATTATTATGTTTTTAATATTACCACCCCACGTGTCATATAAAAAAGCGGTGGTATATGGAAAGATAATATTAAGAGATAACATAAGAAAATGTTTTCTTTTTTTAAATAGATTTTGAAGAAAATTTACAAAGATTTCCACTACGAAGAGAGTATGAATGATGCTTTATTTTAATCTTATTCAAAAGTTCTCTCAGAAAAAATTTTGTTGCTGATTAATTGCAATGTTAAGAATATTTTTATAATGCAAGTATAATTAAAAGTGGAAGAATAACATAAACGATTAAAAAATAGGATTTAGTAATAGTTATTAAACAACAGGGTGAACAGGGCTATGTTGCAATGGAAAATGCATTTATCAGGAATTAAGAGGTTCTTAAAACATTGTATAAAAATTTAAATTGTTTGTAAATTTTTTTACTTAAAAATTTTTTATATTTTTTTTTGTTTTTTCAATATTTTTTTTTTATTGCAATTTATTTTATATAATTAAAGTTCTTTTTTCTTTGACATTATTTTTAGAACTAAACATAGGATATCCATACAAATCTTGCATATGTACGTATGTATGAGTCTATAAAATATATATATTTATGTACAAGTATTAAATATATTACATATATATCAAACATATATCTATGCTATTTGTATAAATATATATGTACATAAATGTGATAAATATACAAAATGTGTCTATATTTTGAAAATTTATTTATTTTAGAAGGGCGAAATTTTTACTGAATTCATATTAAGATGTGATAGCCTTGAGTTTTACAATTGGAAAACGTGTAAAAGTGTACGTATAAAAATAAAAGAAATTAGAATATTTATACATTCTTATACATTTTATGTATATTGTTTAGATGCATTTCTTTTTCTATATAATGTCGAGTGTATCATATTACAAAAGAAAATTGAAGAAAAATTGAAGAAAAAAATAAAAATTTTTATCAGATGATTTTAGCCTTTTTTGTTGTTGTTGTTTTTTTTTTTAAATTCACTCCATTTTTAGAATAGTTGTGATGATTTATAATTGAAAAGAGAATGAAAAGAAAGAGAGTGAATGTGGTGGTTGTATAGATACTTTACAATATAATTGAATGAGAAGTTTTTCTTGACTTCCTTGTTATTACAAAACTAATTATATGTATACATTCATTTTTAAGATTAATCTAGAACAAATGAATTTTTATGTACTTGATGTAAATAAAAAGCGAGAGTACAAAACTAAAGTTAAAAATGAAAATTTTGCAAGTTCCAATGATAACAAAAAGTATTTTTATATGATGGGTTAAACTCTTGGTATTGTTATATTTAGTGTTACAAAATTCAAAGGAAAATAAAGGAGCATAATTTCTTCTTGTGTAGTAAGTACGTATGTGAACTATTGTTTGGTATTGTTGTTTGATTTGAATATATTCTAGTTACTTGGTAGTTATTTCACTTGAATGTTTCCTAGTTACTAAGTTATAAGTGTATAAAAATAATTGGTGTTGATCTTAGGTATAAAATATATATACGTCCAACTTGCGATATAACATAATTAAATTACATAACCGATATTGTGGTTATTTCAGACAAAATATTAGTTTTTATCATATTGCCTGTAAATATGCAATTTTCAAATAATATAATTAGAATTTTGATTACTAAACACTTCTGACTAATTTTTCATGTAGAGTATTCTTCATACAGCATACTTTGTTTTGAACGAACTCACATTTAATGTTATTTCATATTAAAAAAGTACTTATAAGCATGACTATATTGACTATGATTGAAAATACTTTGGCTGTCAAAAGATAATTTAGTGCAGTAATTGAAAGTCATTAATTAAACTTTTTTAAATTAAGAATTATGTTTGAAATATTTTGTGAACAAATATTAAGAGAAAAACATCTTATTACGTTGAAACTGAGGTTTTTTTAAACTGGTCGGGATCATTAATCCAAAAATTGACTAATTGCATGTATAAAGGTAGAAGAATTAAAAATATGAACTTATAATTAAAAAAAGTTGTAGGCTTCAACTCGTTTATTTTCTTTCTATATGATGGTTTTAGATACGTTAAAGCTATTAATCCTTCAACAAAAAACATCATATAAAAAACAAATATTTTTATGCAGTTTATATTAATTGTTTTTGTTTTTTTTTGTACATTTTTGATGTTAGTAAAGAGAAAATGCTGAAAACATCGTATTTTATTTGAATAACAATGAATATGTTTTCGTTTTTAACACCTGGATAAATAGTATAATTTTTTTTATTTTTGTATTGAATTACATTGACACTCACTCTAACGGTACGATTCTTCTCTTGCTTTCATTTTTTTGTCAAATGTTATGTAAAAAAAAAATGAAAAAAAAATTTTGTGCCTTCATTCTATTCTGTCTTTTCGTCTGTCGCCTTGCCCATCTGCCCATCTTTTTGCAAAATTTTTATAAGGTAAAAAGATAAAATTTTATACACAAATAAGATTTACTTGGAATTGTGAATAATGTATTATTCTCCAAGTATAGTCAGAATTGAATTTAGGACATTCCAACTAAATAAGACAAAACTTCATTCTTAGCAAAACAAAATTTGTTTATTGTTCATAATTCACACACTTATGGGCACATCAGTTACAAATAAAAACCATTCTTAAATACAAATAACCTGGTCGTATTTACCTCTTTACCCCTAAAACAATAAAAATTTGCAAAAATTTTTTTTTATTTTTATCTCAAACTCAATTCTGATAAACTATACTTTAATGGACTCAAACAAAATGAGTAATTCGAAATTTTTTTGTATATCTATATTTGAAATTTTCATGTGTATTCAATGGTATACATATATATTTTATTCTACGAGAACCAAACTTTTTTAAAACTTCTCTATTTTTTGAATTATTTTCAAAAAGGGGAGAAGCTTTGAAAAATTTTCAAAATATCGATTTTAGTATATTGAACTTCTATAAAAGCAAAAATGTAGCAATTCTTCTTCTCCTTTGGGCGTTAATTAAATTAATTAACAATACAATTTAAACTGAAATGAGCATAAATTTTTTGAAATATGTATATAATTTAACATTTCTCCTAAATATATGCAATATGCATATAAGTAGGAGCTCTATTACATTAAAATGTTAAAGGAAAATTTGCTATTTTACAAACCATGGATTTGAATGACTATTATTTTTTTGTTTTATTTTGGTCTTTTAATTAGGGATGATTTAATTGAATTTTGTAAAGCATGGAATTTTTCACTTAGATATGCAGAAAAAATTTTATAATAACGCTTTAATTTTCATTATACCCAAATGCAAATTTTATCAAATACACAAGTAATTGTAATTTATTGATATAGAAAAATAAACGTCATACATATATTTTCTATATATTCACAGTCTTTTTGTAAAATTTGTGTAAATGTACATAAAATCGATAGCATTAAGTAACGGAGAAAATGAAATATTTTTAACGGTTGCAAAATTAATTTTACACGACTTTTCAACAAAAAAATTATTATTTTCAATTGTTCCTTAATTTATTAGATATTAGATATTATTTGTGTTGATTGGGCTGAGTGTTAATAATAAAAGATTTTTTAGAAGGAAGTCATTGAAGGCTTTAATATTTACGAGTTTGTATGTATGTGGAATTAGGATATATAGAAGTTATCTTAAACATGTTGTTTGAAATAATTATGTCATTTTAATATAATTTGTCAATAATTCTGTATTGAAAGCCTAAAATATTAATATAGTTTCAAATTAATTACACATAGCATGTGATTCGCTTATGAAAAAATTAACACATACATCGATATGTGTAATTTTAAATATATATACAAATATGTTTAAATATATGGTCTTTGATTATATACAGTATGTTTATAATTCTATAAGATGTAATTATATTATATTGTATAGTTATTATATTTTTACATATATAATAACTGTACT